GAGACCAGCCACAAGGAGACGATTCTACACTGAGTAGAAGCATTTCTGAGTGTGCTGGCAGTCACGATGGATGACGTCTTGCTGTAATCAGGGGAACCTGTCTTCCCGCTATGTGGTGGAACGCCGTCGGCCACCTGCATGTCGCTGGGCAACTGACCAAAACACATTGTATCAACTGAGCGCATTGCTGATCACACTGAGGGTGACGCCAAAGACGTTTACAACGTGACGTTGCCGTAGCCCAGTTTCAAGCATGTGTCTGAATGAGCCTAAGTCCGCGGTCATCAAGTGACGTGGACGGAGCATTCAGTTGATATGCTCTCTGACAATGATTGCCAAATCATTGTTTTGCGGGATAATCACTATTTATTTAAATATTTGTTAATCTTTCTTTTAACTCAGCAAAACTCCAGCTTAAATAACAAACTTTGAGTACTATATTACATTCACGTTAGTATTAGTCATGCCAAGATTATTGTGGTTTTAAGCAAATATTTCAGGATCTTTGAAACCCTTTGATATATCGTTTTCAACACCAGTGTTTCATTATTTCATTAGTGACAGAATTAATACATAATGCATACATCAAAACCTATTTGCAAGGTTTATTTTCTAAAAACAGTGTATATACTGAACCGCAAAAGATAGGCCACGCCGACAGAGGTTTCTTAAAACACACACTTTAACTCCCTCTAAGGAACAATCAAAAAGGAGGATTGTGTTCAAACTTGATAATTATGGTTAACACATTTTCGGGAATCACATTCTGAGTTCACACAAACAAAATAACCAAACATGGTATTATTAAGACACCTCAAAGTCAGTATCGTGTGTGGCCTCAATGGGTATCGGCGACGGCATTGCATCACCTGTAAATGGAATGAATTAGCCGGTTCCTGAAGGTCATAGGCACTTGGGTCCATACTCTGCAAAATGCCTGATCGAGTGTCATACAGAACATTTTACCAAGTCTGCCTTTTTAGGTGCGTTTGGTCGATATACTTTCTCATCAGAAAGCACACTGATGTTGGTAATAACTGTCAATTTGGATTGAAAAACATGTCAACAAAACGGTACAATCATAATAAAAAACCCACCTTGTAAGCACCAAATTTTGCATTTGATTTTGAAAAGTTGCTTTTCTTTTGCGGTTGAGTTTATTTCTCTTTTTTCTGTCCAAAACGAGATTGTACGATGACAAGTAAATGGGCGATTATGCAAAGCCAGTCAGTGTTGCTTTAGGAGTCTGTGGTGAGAAATGTTACGTCCAGAACATGTAGATGTTATCTAAAAGCAACATATGAACAATTTAGGACGTTTGGACGTGTAAAATCTGGAATATCCATTGTTATTTAAAGGTTATTTGATACTGAGTCACGTTAAACCGAGACAACAGACCGACAAGTGAAATTCTATTTTCCTCACTGTAGTTGCTATCTTCATCGGTCTCTAGAGAGCACAGTGAAATTTTGTATTATGTATCTCAAAGGTTTTGCTGATCATTTTCTGTTCTATGGTGCATGTTAAAAGTATCACCGTTTGGTCATGTTCGCGAATCGCCGAAGACCCTGGTTCGATTCCCCACATGGGTACAATGTGTGAAGCCCATTTCTGGTGTCCCCCGCCGTGATATTGCTGGAATATTGCTAAAAGCGGCGTAAAACTAAACTCAGTCAGTCAGTCAGAAATGTTCACGAATGTCAGATGTAACCGAGGTAGCTGATGGAAGCGTTAGTAAAATCTGCCAACAACCCCCACTCGCTGGCTTTCCGAGGCCGAAAGAGCAAATCCACTTTTGTTATCAGCTGGGTCTTCTGCTGTTTATAGTTATAAGTGACCTGTTTATAGGTGTTATGTTTATAGGTGTTATGTTTATGGGTGTATATTTGCTTGCTCTGAAGTTCAGAAGTTCAGTTGCGACAGCGTGATAGTAAGAGTGTAATGAATACGCGCACTGACCATTGAAATATCTTACTTGCTGTGGATTCACACAGTCAGTTCCGACAGCCTGATACAAACAGAGTAATGGATATTAATATGGGCTATAGAAAATACACCACCCTATCGCCTCATGTCAACATTTCAACGCTGCAACCGTTGAAATATAAGCTGACATGGCGCAAGAGCAGTATCTGCTAACACCTTACTGTTGATCATGACTTGTCAGGCACCTCTATCGGCACACAATGCGATAAAAGGTGACGTAATGTTATGTCATGACTGTCTCGCACCATCGCTTCTCCCGACAACAGCTGTCGACAGTGACAGTTGGGTTCGCGCCAGTTGTCAAACGGACAAATAGAATTACAGTGGACTCTCTCTTATCCGACATTCCCTGTAAACCGAGATGTATATTTGGTCTTGAATTTGTCCCTACATAATATCATATAAGAAACTCCCTTTAATCCGACATACCCTCTATTCCGAATTCTGACACTCAAATCCGGTCGCAAAACATGTTCTTGATGCAAATTGACTCTCTCTAAACCGACATTGTAATTTCACAATCAGTGAATACATGGGCGAGAGGTGGCCTACCAAGGATAAATAGGATTGACAGTTAATTACTTGCTAATTACTTCTTCAAAGGATTCATAGATTGTTGAAATCACATGTTAAGTGCTTGTTATGATTCACTGACATTGACTTTGACACTGAGATCATCTCAATTTAGCATGAGTATTGCCAGTGCCACAACACAAATTATATTATAATAAGAAGCCATAGTCAGTTACTGCACTACAGTTCAATGGCTACCCCGCCTCCTACTAGAGGAAGGACTGAGTTAACTCTAGATAAAACTCTATATGAACACACGTTTCGATTTATCTACTGGTGGACTGAAGTTTTCTAGATTCATCATGAGCTCGGTAGCAATGTAAATATGCTGAGTCAATAAGGTCCTTGGTAAGTTTTCTATATGTTGTTGAAAATAGATTACTGGAAACGTTTGTTTTGTTGTTTGAGACAGACTTACGTTATAATCCATTCCATGTGAATCAGAGTAAACAATTCTCATCATTTGGCTGTAGTCACTTTCCAAAGCCACAAGTGTCATTATCCAAACCATACGACACAATCCTTTGTATCTAACCCAGGACCATAAGAATTCAAAGCTAATGAATGACGCATTTCCCATTACTGTAGCCATTACTACTTTCGATATCTACGTGACAGATACAAATAGCTAGATTGTATTAAAGCCAAGGAGCCCTTATCGCTGCTCGTACCTATATTTGTGAATTTGTTTTTGTATCAATTCCGTGAAACGGCTATCAATATATTTAATCAATATTGGCATTCAGTGTTAGATAATAGGTCACGATATGATCCCTATAGAATGTTTGATACCCTACTCCAACTCGAAAAGTACCTATCACACTTAACGTCCAAAAGGTTAAGATATTCGTTCATACGACTTATATAATATGATTAATGAAGGAACACGTATGTCCATCGACAGATATAAATGAATTTGCCTATTGTGTAAATTATCTATTGAAAACGAATTTCATTTTTTATTTGTCTGTCCATCTTACATAGATTTACGTAAACTATATATTCCTAATTATTACCGCTCCAAGTCACGTACTGTAGCATTTAAACAAATCCTGTCTACTTGTGACAACTGTATCAGCTAAAACTATCACAATACATCTACAATGCAATGTCTAAGCGTGATACTCTGTTTAAATTATCTCTGTATTCAAGCTGTATGTGATTGTACAATGCATGTAACTCCAGTGTATATGTAAATACAATAAACACCTTTGACTTGACTTTGACCAGACAATCCAGTGATCAACAGCATGAGCATCGATCTACGCAATTGGGATACGATGACATGTGTCAACCAAGTCAGCGAGCCTGACCACCCGATCCCGTGAGTCGCCTCTTACGGTTACTGAAGATCAATATACCCGGATCTTCACGGGTCAGACCAGACAAGTACATGCTGACACGGTATCATTCCTTGTTGAGTACAAGAAACGATAATTACGACACTATGTATTATTTATATATAACAGTCATAATAGCAGAAAACCTTCCTTCAAATGTAAAATTATAGAAGCTCTGAACAGCTCTTCGATAAATACTTCTGCTAAAGCTACATCTTAACACATTTTGTAAATGTATGGCAAGTGATTGAAAGGAGTTCATTTGAAAATTCAGTTCTCTATCAACATAAGTGTAGGCCATCGGCCCATAGCCACATAGGTTACATTGTACATGGCAAACCATGGTGTGTACAGTACAGATTAATAATGTTAACATCTTAGATATATTGCATGACAAATAAAGTTAGCTAACGTATTGATGAGTATATAATCTGATGATCACATGAGGAATTTAGCTATACATGGATTGGTGCAATAGGTTTTAGGTAAATGGTTCAAGCGGAGCTATTTAATTTTGGAACACACGAGAAGAAAATGGTATTCATCCTCAATGTGACCTTCATCGCGTTGTAAACATAATCTATCATTTCTATTTATATTATAATACTTGCAAGATTGGATATGTAACTGATGTAAAAAAAACATCTAAACTGAGCGAGGGCTACTCTAAACTTAATGTTAATTAAATTTAAATACAATTCCCTGGAAAATTATATTTTGAAGTAAGCACACGCCATAGATTTGCTGCCATTTCAAAGTAAACTATACCAATTCTGTTCATGAATACATTTAAGCCGAATGAGTTTATTTATCATGCTATGAAACTAAGGTGTATAAATTTTATAACGCCCCAGAGGCTGGTGTTAAGTCATGGTTTTACGCTTGAATGACTACATGTTTATTCAGAGGTGAAGATGTTACATATATTACGTGCATAATTCATGTTCCGTTCAATGTGTTTCCAAAACTGCAAAGTGAAACCGATTTACATAAAGTTGCCCAACCAGAGTTAATTTATGCAAAGAAAAGGGCGTGGCTGTGCTGGGATAACGTGTCTGCCAGACAATTCAAAAGTCAAAACAAACAGTAGTTTACATTCAGGGGACAACTGTGCTTTACCACTATGCCTTCAAGAACTATCACCCAAGGTATTATATTCAGCTTGCAGGCAGCATCCGTTGTAAGTGCATTTACTTTTTCAAGCGATAGAAAGAAAGGAAGAATCCCTTCCAACAACGTAGTGCTTTCATGAAAACATATGTTTGTACTGATGAACTTGTATCTTTATACCTCAACATTTCAGACCTTTGAAGCATTTGCAGGGCGATGGGGCAGCCTAGTGGTTAAGACGTTCGCTCGTCACGCTGACGACACGGGTTCGATTCCCCACATGGGCACAATGTGTGTAGCCCGTTTCTGGTGTCCCCCGCCTCGATGGCCAGTCCATGACGTTGATTCCAGCGTTTTGAAGGAAATTTCGTGTCAACATCGCGGTATGCGGCCGAGCATTATCATGCTGGAACTGTAGACCTGGGCCATGAGCCGCTATGAAAGGAACGAGTTCAGGGGTGAGCACCTGGTCGCGGTAAGCAGCAGCTGTGAGGTTTCCACGGATGACCAGAAGTCGGGAACGGTTGTTCTCACAGAAAGCACCCCACACCATGCAACTTCCACCCCTGAATCTGTCGACTTCCTGTACACAACATTGGGCATACCGTTCACGACGTCGTCTCCAGACTCTATGCCTGCTGTCCGCGAATCTGAGGGTAAACCTGGATTCATCGCTAAAGACGACTCGATTCCAGTCTCTCTGGGTCCATCGGAGGTGACGTTGGGCCCACAGCAGACGTTGACGTTGATGAAACGGCGTCAATATTGGCCCATGATATGGACGTGGAGAATGGAGATTGGCAGCCCGCAACCGATTTCGAATGGTCTGTGAGGACAGTCGACCTCTAAACATCTCAGCCCTGGTTCTTGTAGCCGGCAGAAATCTGTCACGTAAGTGACGTAGGACGATTTGACGGTCTTCTGCTCGTGACGTTACACGTGGACGACCCGACCTTGGGCGATCAGAAGTGGTGCCAGTTTGTTGTAGACGACCTCGCAAGTCATACACAGTACGACGGCTGCATCCCATTGCTCTTGCGACGTCAATAACTGATCTTCCCGCTTGCAACATGCCAACGGCACGTTCACGTTGCACATTTGACAATCGTGGCATTTCAAGTACCGCTAGAACTGTGGTTTAAAAGTGTGTGTTTTCAATTCTTGAGGCCAATGCAAACACGTGCATATGAAGAAAACTTCGATGCGAAGATCACGTGATCGACTGCACGTGCAAAACCTGATTTGGCACTAACGTCATTTGCACGACGAATGGATGGGTTTGAGTGGGTTTTGCTAACGTTTTTCTAGAGTCGAAAGATGGGGATCCCATTTCGGATACATAGATGTATCATCAGAGAAAAATTATTCATTATTTTTCAAATTACATTTTGTGAAGTTTCTTTTTTGACTCAGTATATAATGATTACTCGTAACTATCATTTAGATTCCTTTCTTTCATCTGTGTTTCATTTCCCATCACATTCTGATATAATGTAAGGGGCGGTGAGGTAACCTTGGCTCGTCACGCCGAAGACCCGGGTTTGATTCCCCACATGGGTACAATGTGTGATGTCCATTTCTGGTGACCCCCGTCGTGATATTACTGGAATATTGCTAAAAGCGGCGTAAAACCATACTCACTCACTGATATAATGTAAACGGCTATATTATGTCTTGTTTCTGGAAACTATGTCAGAATTTTAAGAGGCACTTTACATTTTGACGTCCGTACTTTGAGCTTTCTTTTCCAAGAATTTGCGTGCAGTTACGTATTTCTACCTGATTTCTATTGAATCTGTGATATTTTCCCTTGTCAGCTTTCACTGAAAACGAAATTAATTGTGTCACCTAGATACTTCTGATGAAATGTTGAATCGTGCTTCACCCACTCGCCAACATTATCTGATCAGTTTCTTTTTCATTTCAGGGATTTGTATTCAGCGTGTTCGGTCCGAGCCTGCCTGACCTGCAGTGTTTGTTCAATACAAGCCTCAAAGCCTTGAGCCTTCTGTTTGTCTTACTGTCTCTCGGTTTAGTCTTTGGACAAAGTATCTCTGGGTGTCTGATCAAGAGGTTCTCTCCCTATCTGCTCATGTTTATTGCCGTTATTCTACAAAGTGGAAGTTACATACTACTGCCTCTGCCCAAGGAAGTCTATGCAGCAACTGTGGTTATAACCCTGATTGGAATATCTTCTGGACTGGGCATATGTGGTGAGACCTTGACCTTCATACCCATACAACCAAGATTGCTACAAGTTCATTCTGTATTTATATAAACCTATGAACTATATGTCATTTGGTTGTCATCGGAGTGTGGCAAACTGATTACAAAACTTATGCAAGTTTTGCTTGAATTCGTAACACCTTGTTAAAGATATCCTAAAACCCACACTACTAGATTGTATGTAACCCCATCGTTCCACAAGCACAAAGTGCACTCAACCACGTCTTTAAAATATATCTGATGATGATAGCTTGTCTCAAGAATATGTCTAAGTACGTTTTATATCACAGATAAACATTTATACCTTAGTCATATAAAGGATAGAAAAGACGAAATAGCATTATTATTATCTTCCTTTACTCAAATACTAGCAGTCGCTCTATGAAGATATAATCGGAATGAGTATAACGTTAAAATATTTAAAGAACTGTGTATACATATGAGAACACGTGATCCTTTCTAACAATGTCAGGATAGTGTGATTGTCTGATCCGAAGTCAATCTTTTGCAGTTATCTTGCACATGACGAACGTCGTGTGGCCTGGCAATGTTCGCATCACCCATCTGCTGTTCAGCGTGGCCTCGGCAGGGTGCGTGCTTGGTCCCCTCTTGTTAACCCCTTTCCTTAGCGATGGCACAGTCACCTGGAAGAATCAAACTAACTTCGTACATTCGCTACCACACTTAAATTCCTATTGTCTCGATATGGATAACGAAACCCATGTCGATGGGAGCATCCATGCATGTTTAAACTGTCAAAATGTCTTCACAATGATACAATTTGCATTTTTGCTGTTGGGTTTATTTGGAGTTCCTTCTATCGTTGGTCAGTTGACGTTCTTCATTAAACTGAAGCTCGAGGAGGTTACTGGTGAATACTCCACCATAAATAATGAGACGACAAAACTAAACAAACCAAAAGCCCCATATTTAGTTCTGATGTTCCTATTCCTCCTTCAAAGTCAAGGATTCCCTTCGGGGTTTTCGGCACTTTTATCAACTTTTGGTGTCCAGAGTTCACATCTCAGTCTAAGCGAAATGTCTCTTATGACGTCATTCTTCTGGCTGGTATTTACCGCGGGCCGCCTTCTGTCAGCATTCCTGTCGGGAAGAATAACACAGACAAATATCCTCAATGTGTGCATGGTAGGAAATGTCATCGGCACAGTTGTACTGTGTGGAAGCTTTTACTGGGGTCGAATATCGCTGTGGAGTACCTGTGTGTTTTATGGATTGTGTTCGGCACCGATATTACCTGCAGGTATAGGCTGGTCAAGACATGTCATCCAAGTCACACCGAACATCGAGGCTTCTTATATGGTTTCAATGTCTAGTGGATTAGTGATGCCATACATCTGCGGATTTCTCATGGATACATTTGGACCTTATTCTTTTATATATTTTTTCATCGCATTTTGCGTTTATAATTGCTTCATTTATATATCTGTGCACCTGTATATAAAAATGTGATTGTTTGCAAAATGTAAACATATTATTAATGTAACACATATTATATTTGGCATTAAACTTTCTCAGTAAGGTACAGATTCTAGTACTTTGGTTGGGATGAGTTGGGTTGGACTTCCACAATTATGGAAGTCGGACAACTGGTAATCTAAACCACGGACGTCGTGTACCCCTCTGACAAGTGTAAACTGGCACGGCTCCCACTACCAGGTACTATGAATGCACAATGCCATTCAGAAAGTAGGTCTTGTGTTACGAAGTATTAGACCTAAAGCGTTCAGACGAGGTTGATCATAATGATTAAATTCTGCTTACAGTATTTTAGTTTCAGATTATAATACAAAAAGTTGTCTTGCTTTGACTGTGAGTGTCAAGGATAAACTATATAGCTAGACACTCCGATGTCTGGTGGTACTTTTACCCATATCACGTTCTGTAGTGTTGGCATTGGCTCGTATACACTAACATAGCTTAGTTCGGAACTCAGCCAACATATTTGTAAATGACAGTCAAAAGGGTTGGCAGTGGCTCATTTATAACATAAAATGGTCATGATTGGGACATATTGGAACATTGTTGAATAACTATGTCAGGCATGAACCGCATCACTTCCGTGTAGACTAGACCCATAATTATATAATGGCTGCTGCTGAAGGTATATGTGGCCAGCTATCTGATGCCCTAATATATTTCACTAACGTAACGTATTTACTCCTGTAACTACGACGGTGACTAGAATGGATATACCAGGTATAAATATAAGCCAACAATGCGTTTTACTGTATATTCATCAATTATCAATCTCACAAGCAGTCAACGGTCAGAATTGTATATTGTTCTCTCTTGTAAGTATCCATCCAAATACATGGCTCAGGAGTCGAAGGCACTGCAATTCGTTGTGCAGAGTTGTATCTCTTTGGCGTGCCAGGACTCTGTGATCCCGATTCGCTCAGTTTGTTTCAGGTTTTGGTGTCAGCACAATAGCCATGATAGTAGGTTGCACCCAAGTGGTAGCGTAATGTATATACTGATACACCTGAAATTATTATCAAAGCGTCTGTATGCTCACGTACTCACGCACACACTCGCTCACACACTCTACAATGATGTTTAATGTGCAACCCTGAATGCACTCTGCAACTGTTTCAAAGGCTTGTGTATTAATGATTAATGATATTAATTATTCTAATTCATCTTTTAGAGTTCAACAGGAACATGAGAGGAAGGTTTGTCCTATGTAATTCACATGTTTTACTATGTGTTCAGTACTTTTCACAGGGTAAAATGTGTTGAATTGATACTAGGGTACTGAGACCCTACAGGGTCCAGATTAGTTTCAGCTGCAAAACCAATTTCAGATTTAACCAACTTATTAAAACCAACTTTGAGCCCAGTAAATAGAAAACCCCATTAATTGATGCACTTGCAACAACAAGTGGTGGTGTGTGGACCTGTGCGTAGAGCTCCGGTCTCGAATCAGTTGAAGTTAAGCAACGTGGAGCTCGGACAGTCCTTGGATGGGTGACCGTGTTGACTTGACTCATGAGAGTTTCTAGGACTTCAGTCCTGTCCCAAAACGAAGCACTTGTGATACATGTGGTCTCACCTTAGGCCAGTGAGTTATTATGTTCAAAAATCGCCTCTGTTCACCCAGCAGAAAATGGGTACCCGGTTGGATAAAGTCATGTGACTATAACCTTCTTGCGCCTAACAGGCAGCTTGGGTTATCCGGGTTAATAATAATCAGATCGTCCAGTGAGCAACTAGTCAGAAGAATTATTATTATTATTCAATATATTTCCATTGCAGACAACAGCATATAATTATTTTCGAAGCATTATGTGAGACGAGCCTCCCATACCTCCACGACTACATTCATTTGTATGCCTGATTAAAAATCCAAATGTATTGTCAGGTATGTTTTGTATAGTTTGCTCTAGAACTCACATCTACACGTATCCAGCCATTATACAAAAAAATCTCATATAATTTTATTCATAACCATAGCTTATTATACTATCATGCTTATCATTAACACTGACGCGTTTATAATTTATGTTCAACGCCATATGAAGCTTGAATTTCACAATGCATTAACCTAATTCCATTTAATGAATAGATGTTATCACGAGTGTGTAAGGAAAATGGATATCCTGTATTGTAGGGGAGCGGTTGTCGCTACCCCGGCTGTTGTTTAAGATATGGGAGCAATTAAAGTGTAGAAGTCACTACAACATCTGTTGGAACCGGCCTTTACATACCGTTCACCCACATACGTTTCCCCCTGCCTCGACAGGTCAATCACATTCTGTCTCACACGTTTAATTGTTTGCATGTTAGATCATCGAGTCAAATAATCCAATAGGTGGCGTAGCTTTCACTCATACCCACAAATATCACACTGGCAATAATAATAATAATAATAATAATTACATTGGCAAGATTCAGGAAAAGCATGCTAAATATGCGGCCCTCGCCTTTAAAATGTCTCGCTTGTATCCCAAGTACACTGTCGTCAGGCTCCCCATTGTTCTCGGTGCCCTTGGTTTGGTACCTCCTGATGTCTTGGCGCAGATCAGGAGAGTGCCCGGGTTTTCCACCGGGCGCACAGCCCTTCTGACACGCTGGGTAATGCAGAATGCTGCAGTGTTGGGGAGCCTTCATATTCTCCGGAAAGTTCTTGGTGGGTTCGACTAGGCAGTGTTTCCTGGGGGAAGTCCCATTCGCTGTCTGGGCTGTGTGTAGAGTGGGCGAGGGCCCTGAGCTGATGATGAGCCTTACCAGCCTGACTGTGCCAGGATCACCCGAACCCTCTCAGCTGCATTTTCATCTTTAATCTGTAAAACATAATAATAATGATAAAATCAGGGAGGAATTCGAGATTAAATGTTTGCTCGGCGGAGGCTTACCCGACAAGTAAGCGTATCGATTGGCCTAATAAGTGCTATGCGAAGCGTTGTATACCGATCTGTTAACATGTACCTAGAAGAGTTCAAATATCAACACCGTTTAGCATTACGATCATTATATTCTGAATTGCTACCATATATTGTCATATGAAAGTATTCACTCATATAACTTGCATTACAGGTAATAAAAATATAGTTAGATTCTTTGTTGAGCGGGGAGAGTATGGCATATACCTCTGTCGAATCCCCCCATATGTTACCTTTAACCATAGCTAAGGAACTTATCGAAACTTCAATTTAACTTACCCTCCGGATACATTGACTCCCAAGGAATATTAAATGGCAAATGCAAATGCAAAAAGAACGATAAAACTGTAGTTTATTCAGAGAAGCATTCATGGCAAACATTTACTCGTTATGTAATGCTGATAACTTTGGTCATATGACGTCAATAGGTGCGGTCGTTTTCAAGACTCTGGCTTACAACCCTCCAAGAAATCACATAGGTATTCAATAACCGAGCGTTGTGCTCCGCCACCTGCTATAACATTACTAATCCCCAACCTCATTGACTGTATCAGACGTTGAGGCATTGCGTTCCATTCTTTATAGAAAGCTTGCTCCGATACATCAAGATATTGTACTGGATGATGTCTCTGGCGTCATGTCTCAAACATGACAGAGACCTGGACCTGGTAGAGTTGCTACTGCCTCTTGACGTATGGAATGACAAACGGCTCGTGCAGATGCCCAGCCATCAGTAATGAACAAAAGAAATGGACTTTCCGCATACCAGTGTCATCTTTGGACTTTCCGCATACCAGTGTCATCTTTGAGCAAGTGTCAGTTGAGGTTGCCGCATATTTGCTTATAAATAACGAAATCAACTGATTTTCCAAGTTATCCATCTGTAATTATAGTTTACTGAAACGTAATATGTTTAAGTAACGTTTACACTTATTGCCTATGATGCTCGCCTTTGATCGTAGCATATCTAAAGTAGCCCAAAGCGTCAAAATACAAAATACATACAAACAAACATAATAATTATATGAATATAAATGGCTACATAGGGTTATAGATGGGAAATACCATAAACGTACCACCCAAGGCAGGAAGCGTCTGAAGAAGTAGACAATAGTTTTTCACTGTTTTCTGAACGTTGTTTTCGCAGGGTTGAAGATATTTTATTAGTTCTGGCAGTACATAACTTATACCTGTTGTTTCCATTTCATATATGTAACTTTTCTTTATTGATAGAGTATTCATGCTATCAATGCAGTTTTCTTTATTGATAGAGTATCCATGCTACCAATGCAGTTTTCTTTATTGATAGAGTATTCATGCTGTCAATGCAGTTTTCTTTGACAATGTTTCACTGTAGTTATTCTCTAATCGTCACATATAAGATGGCCGAATTGTAAGCGAAATGTTCACCTCCTAGTGAGGTGAGGTGAAATTGGGTTTAACGTCGTGCTTGAGAATATTTCGCTCATATGACGACGTGCATGCGTGTGTATGTGTATGTGTGGCTGCTTGTACTAGCCCAGACTTAAGCTGGTTTTATAGTGCTAGCCCACTGAGATGCCATGCCGCAGTGAAGCATGAATACCCCACTCAGACACATTATACTGACTCCGAGCCGACCAGTCCTTGTTGTACCGGTTAATGCCGAGCGCCAGGCAGGACCAACAAGTACCATATTTTAACGTCTTTGGGTATGACGCGGTCGGGGATCGAACCCGCGACCTTCCGCTCTCCGGGCGGATGCTCTAACCACTACATCACGGAGGCGGTCTCACCTCCTAGTGCCCACATTAACAAAATATACTATATTCTATTGTGTGCTCATGAAATAAAATTTTGTTTGAAATTCAACTGGCTCTTTTTCCACGTTTTATCAAGATGATCATTTTTCAAGGTAGCAGTATTCCATATCTTTGATTCCGATGATTACCCAGCCGCACTCTCCATACAGAGAAGGCATTGCAAACAAGCGTGAGAACATTGCAAACACGGGCAAGAACAATGCAACCAAGGTGAGAGCAATGCAAACAAGCGTGAGAACATTGCAAACACGGGCAAGAACAATGCAACCAAGGTGAGAGCAATGCAAACATGGGTGAGAACATTGCAAACACGGGCAAGAACAATGCAACCAAGGTGAGAGCAATGCAAACATGGGTGAGAACATTGCAAACACGGGCAAGAACAATGCAACCAAGGTGAGAGCAATGCAAACATGTGAGAACATTGCAAACACGGGCAAGAACAATGCAACCAAGGTGAGAGCACAAACATGGGTGAGAACAAAACACGGGCAAGAACAATGCAAACCAAGGTACAATGCAAACATGGGTGAGAACATTGCAAATATGGGTGAGAACAGTGCCAACAAGCGTGAGAACAAGTACAAGATTACTGCATACATATTGCGACAGCCACACAATTCTGTTGGCGTGGTTGCGTGCATGCGTGTGTGAATGTGTAGGTGCGTGTGTCTGTGGCTGTTTGTATGTATTAGTCCAAACTAATGCCGGATTTACAGTGCGTCTACTGAGATGCCATGTCGCAGTATAGCCTGGCTACTCAACTCAAACACACAGTTCAGACTCCGACCCAACGGACATCTTGTGTGTGAGGGAGCTGTGGATGAAACACCAAACGTGCACCCTTTCAAAAATAGCTATGTGTGTCCCCCAACTTGGAACCTGTTGCAGTTGTACTTCACTTCATAGTTTAAAAAAATGGTTTGCACACGCCGAGGATGGCAGAGAGATCACGTAGAATGGGCGGGGATGGATCTGATACGGCTTAATTACGTTGTATTTTTAAATAAGCTATAACAACAGTCGATTCGTTGTTCCTTCCTCACACTAAAAACTTCGGATACTTCGACAGTAATCTTCCTTCACTCTCATGAACAATGGATTAGACACCGACAGTAATTATCTTCCCTCACTCTCAAGAACAATGGATTAGACACCGACAGTAATTATCTTTCCTCACTTTCAAGAACAATGGATTAGACACCGACAGTAATTATCTTCCCTCACTCTCATGAACAATGGATTAGACACCGACAGTAATTATCTTTCCTCACTCTAAAAAAACAAAGGATTAGACACCGACAGTAATTATCTTCCCTCACTCTCATGAACAATGGATTAGACACCGACAGTAATTATCTTCCCTCACTCTCAAGCACAATGGATTAGACACCTACAGTAATTATCTTTCCTCACTCTCATGAACAATGGATTAGACACCGACAGTAATTATCTTCCCTCACTCTCATGAACAATGGATTAGACACCGACAGTAATTATCTTTCCTCACTCTCAAGAACAATGGATTAGACACCGACAGTAATTATCTTTCCTCACTTTCAAGAACAATGAATTAGACACCGACAGTAATTATCTTCCCTCACTCTCATGAACAATGGATTAGACACCGACAGTAATTATCTTTCCTCACTCTAAAAAAACAAAGGATTAGACACCGACAGTAATTATCTTCCCTCACTCTCATGAACAATGGATTAGACACCGACAGTAATTATCTTCCCTCACTCTCAAGAACAATGGATTAGACACCGACAGTAATTATCTTCCCTCACTCTCAAGAACAATGGATTAGACACCGACAGTAATTATCTTCCCTCACTCTCAAGAACAATGGATTAGACACCGACAGTAATTATCTTCCCTCACTCTCAAGAACAATGGATTAGACACCGACAGTAATTATCTTCCCTCACTCTCAAGAACAATGGATTAGACACCGACAGTAATTATCTTCCCTCACTCTCAAGAACAATGGATCAGACACCGACAGTAATTATCTTCCCTCACTCTCATGAACAATGGATTAGACACCGACAGTAATTATCTTCCCTCACTCTCATGAACAATGGATTAGACACCGACAGTAATTATCTTCCCTCACTCATGAACAATGGATTAGACACCGACAGTAATTATCTTTCCTCACTCTCAAGAACAATGGATTAGACACCGACAGTAATTATCTTCCCTCACTCTCAAGAACAATGGATTAGACACCGACAGTAATTATCTTCCCTCACTCTCAAGAACAATGGATTAGACACCGACAGTAATTATCTTTCCTCACTCTCAAGAACAATGGATTAGACACCGACAGTAATTATCTTCCCTCACTCTTATGAAGAACAATGGATTAGACACCGACAGTAATTATCTTTCCTCACTCTCAAGAACAATGGATTAGACACCGACAGTAATTATCTTCCTCACTCACTGGATTAGACACCGACAGTAATTATCTTTCCTCACTCTCAAGAACAATGGATTAGACACCGACAGTAATTATCTTCCCTCACTCTCAAGAACAATGGATTAGACACCGACAGTAATTATCTTCCCTCACTCTCAAGAACAATGGATTAGACACCGACAGTAATTATCTTCCCTTACTCTCATGAACAATGGATTAGACACCGACAGTAATTATCTTTCCTCACTCTCAAGAACAATGGATTAGACACCGACAGTAATTATCTTTCCTCACTCTCAAGAACAATGGATTAGACACCGACAGTAATTATCTTTCCTCACTCTCAAGAACAATGGATTAGACACCGACAGTAATTATCTTCCCTCACTCTTATGAACAATGGATTAGACACCGACAGTAATTATCTTTCCTCACTCTCAAGAACAATGGATTAGACACCGACAGTAATTATCTTCCCTCACTCTCAAGAACAATGGATTAGACACCGACAGTAATTATCTTCCCTCACTCTCAAGAACAATGGATTAGACACCGACAGTAATTATCTTCCCTCACTCTCAAGAACAATGGATTAGACACCGACAGTAATTATCTTCCCTCACTCTCAAGAACAATGGATTAGACACCGACAGTAATTATCTTCCCTCACTCTCAAGAACAATGGATTAGACACCGACAGTAATTATCTTCCCTCACTCTCAAGAGCAATGGTTTAGACACCGACAGTAATTATCTTCCCTCACTCTCAAGCACAATGGATTAGACATCACCACTGGCCAAACCTCACACTGTAGCACAGTGATAGCTCATATGCGATCTTCTTGTTTTAGACAAACTGCTATAACGCTGTGTATTTTCAAACTGGATGTGATTTCACCTAACTGCATATGTAAGTTAAGTGTGCAGGTGTTTTCCTATTTCACCTTCACAGCAGTGTTATGGTAGACATTTCCAAAGTTGACGGTAGTGGCAACAAATCCGATATACATGTAATACCCATGTTGACTTTTTCTGTTATCCCCGTGCCATTTTTAGCGGACTTGTTTTGCGTGTGTTCGTGATGGGTGTCTCTGTAGAGCAGAATAATCTCATCTCGAACACCTGGGGTCATCAATGTTTGGTAGTGGTTCATACATGTACGCTTATAAGACCCGTGCAGATCCGGGTTAGAATTGATCTTCAGTAACCCATGTTTGTCGTAAGGCACGACCAAAGGGATCGGGTGATCAGGTTCGCTGACGTGGTTAACTCTTGTCATCGTATCCCAATTGCGTAGATCGATGATAATGCTGTTGATCACTGGATTGTCTGGTCCAGACTCGACTGTTTACAGACCGCCGCCATATAGCTGGAATATTGCGGAGTTCCGACGTACAACTAAACTCACTCACTCAATCAGGTGCATAGATCGGCTCATGTGTCAATCACCGCTCTCTATGTTTTGTTTTAAAATCTTCCCATTCGTCATATGTGTACATATATATTGCTGGAATAGTTTTGAGTGCGGCGTAAAACTAAACTCACTCACTCACATACGCTTATGATGTATTAAGAATCGTAAAATTAATGCTTTTTTATAATTTTGTAGATTTTTCTAATGATTAGGGAAAGAGTGTTCTAGTTTTATATTTTCCTAAATAATCATGTTTTATGTTTCGTGGTGATACATGCCACTTTGTTTAATAGCTCTAAATGAAAGTCGTTCTTAATCCAAGGCCTCCCGATGGGAGTGATCGGACCCAGCCTCCCGGACTTGCAGTGTTTGCTGGGAATAGACCCGAGAGTTTCGAGTTATCTCTTGCTCTCTCAAGGTGTCGGATGTTGTAGTTGTCAGTTTGTGTCGTCACTTTTCTTCACACATATATCTCCATATTTGATCATCTGCTGCTGCCTGATCTTTGATTGTCTGAGCTTCTTCATTCTCCCAGTCAGTGGAAACTTCTACATTGCTGCAGCCGCCATGTTTGTGATGGGGGGGTACGACAGAGGTAGGCTTATGCGGTGAGTACCTATTGTTTCTATGTCACTGATAGTTCTCAAAGCCTCCTACCTAATGATTCATAGTCATGCATACGACATACCTCTGATAGTAAGTGGATGTTGTTTAGAACCGCAGTACGGCGGTGAAAACTATATCCAAAAGGTGGTATCATACTGAAAATAAAGTATACCGTTTAAGGACCCAGTATGGACTACTGCGTTGCTGGAGGTTTTGTCGGAGATGTATCAGATGTTTCTGCAGTACACGCGTAAAGACTCAGTGTTTTGTCTGAAACATTTAGTAAAACCACACATTTCAGAACAGACATTTGTGTCTTTGAAAATCCATGAGAAAATATTTTCTGAACATTTCCGGGAGAAGAATTTCAGATGATCCACCCACAAGACAGTTATAATGTTAAAAAGCTATTAGAATTATGCTGAACTATTTAAGGATACAAATGTATCTAAAACATGGTCATTTCTTGCAGGTTTGTTCCACCTTTCGCATCGGGTATGGGCAGGGAACGAAAGAATAGTTCACCTCGTGATGGCAATAAGTGCTTCAGGGGCTGTGCTGGGGCCTCTACTACTGAACCCTTTTCTTCACGACGGCGTCTTCACAATGGCATACTTTCAAAAACACAACACAACTCTCGAGGATATATTTCATATATATCAAAACCTGTCTAACACAGGTCCTGTGACAACACTCGACAAATACCACATGGACCTTCCTGGAGTGTTACCTGAGAACACCTCTCAGTCTTTGAATGAACTGATTTCTGCTGAAAATTCACTCACTGGGAGTGCACGTTCCACATCATGTTCCGACTTCAGTACACTTATCGAATATCCATACTTTATCACGGGGGTGATAGGTGTACCAGCGATCATCCTTGGGCTCTATTTCTATATCAGACCTGGAACACACTGCCCAAGCAATTCCTACGAGACAGTGGTAGATTCAAGCACTGGAATTACCAACCCTGGAAATCTGTATTTTGTATTGATGTTCCTGTTCCTTCTCTGTAGCCAAGGCATTTCTGTAGCATTTTCGTCTCTCCTCACAACATTTGGTCTGACTAGTTCCCTGAACATCAGCCTGAGCACAATGTCAGTGATGACATCTTTCTTTTGGTTTATTCATTTTATTGGTCGTATGTTAACAGTACTACTCCCAAGAGGGACCAGACAGTTGTACATACTATGCATCTGCCTCGTGGGTACTCTCCTTGGAACACTTACTTTGGCAATGACTGAGTGGCTAGGAACAGCCGTTCTTTGCGCAGCGTGTGCGTTGATTGGCTTATTTACTGGCCCTCTAGTGTCTGCTGGGCTTACGTGGTCGGGTCAAGTCATTGCAGGAACACCAAAAATCACATCCTTCTACGTAGTGGCCATATCTTGTGGATTTGGTGCTCAGTTTCTCTGTGGGTCTGTGATGTATGCTGTTGGACCAAAAGGATTCGTCTCCTTTTGTGCTGGTATTTCTTTAATGATGTTAATACTTTACGTAACTTTATATGCAATTATTCGATCATTTAAGGGGAGTTTGTAACTCATGTAAACAGTTGTCATTTATTGACTAACCATGATTTAACATTTCAGCTAACATCGGGTAAATTACCTGTTGTGTCATCAAGCAGGATACTTATGCTCCAAGCTAAAGGACTAAAGTGTTGTTACAAATTGTGTCATTTGGGTAACCCTGTCACCTCAACCTAAATTCTTTCCTCTCTATCATGGCAACACATGGTGGGACACGAAGAGTGGGCTTCACCACTTTTGACATCACCAGGTTTCAATTCCAGTTTTAGCCATTATGTATTATATACAAATATAAGCAACAAAACCCTTTCCATGATCTACATATTCTAATCATACGAAATATATGATAAAAGCAGAAATCACCATGATCACTGGAGGATCCCAAGTATTTTGACTTTCGACAGATATCAGGCATAACATTCAGTAAGATGCAACAACCACAAAAATACTCTAAATACGCAACCAGGATACCTTCTCATCTGTTTTTATCAACCATAAACATTTACTGGGACTATCAAGTGTGTGAGTAGACTGAACTCTTGAACGGTTTTCAGTAATATCAATAATATCAGTAATATTTTCACTCATATAACTTGCATTACAGGTAATAAAAATATAGTTAGATTCTTTGTTGAGCGGGGAGAGTATGGCATATACCTCTGTCGAATCCCCCCATATGTTACCTTTAACCATAGCTAAGGAACTTATCGAAACTTCAATTTAACTTACCCTCCGGATACATTGACTCCCAAGGAATATTAAATGGCAAATGCAAATGCAAAAAGAACGATAAAACTGTAGTTTATTCAGAGAAGCATTCATGGCAAACATTTACTCGTTATGTAATGCTGATAACTTTGGTCATATGACGTCAATAGGTGCGGTCGTTTTCAAGACTCTGGCTTACAACCCTCCAAGAAATCACATAGGTATTCAATAACCGAGCGCTGTGCTCCGCCACCTGCTATAACATATCTAACCCCCAACCTCATTGACTGTATCAGACGTTGAGGCATTGCGTTCCATTCTTTGTAGAAAGCTTGCTCCGATACATCAAGATATTGTACTGGATGATGTCTCTGGCGTCATGTCTCAAACATGACAGAGACTTGGACCTGGTAGAGTTGCTACTGCCTCTTGACGTAAGGAATGACAAACGGCTCGTGCAGATGCCCAGCCATCAGTAATGAACAAAAGAAATGGACTTTCCGCATACCAGTGTCATCTTTGGACTTTCCGCATACCAGTGTCATCTTTGAGCAAGTGTCAGTTGAGGTTGCCGCATATTAGCTTATAAATAACGAAATCAACTGATTTTCCAAGTTATCCATCTGTAATTATAGTTTACTGAAACGTAATATGTTTTAGTAACGTTTACACTTATTGCCCATGATGCTCGCCTTTGATCGTAGCATATCTAAAGTAGCCCAAAGCGTCAAAATACAAAATACATACAAACAAACATAATAATTATATGAATATAAATGGCTACATAGGGTTATAGATGGGAAATACCATAAACGTACCACCCAAGGCAGGAAGCGTCTGAAGAAGTAGACAATAGTTTTTCACTGTTTTCTGAACGTTGTTTTCGCAGGGTTGAAGATATTTTATTAGTTCTGGCAGTACATAACTTATACCTGTTGTTTCCATTTCATATATGTAACTTTTCTTTATTGATAGAGTATTCATGCTATCAATGCAGTTTTCTTTATTGATAGAGTATCCATGCTACCAATGCAGTTTTCTTTATTGATAGAGTATCCATGCTACCAATGCAGTTTTCTTTATTGATAGAGTATTCATGCTATCAATGCAGTTTTCTTTGACAATGTTTCACTGTAGTTATTCTCCAATCGTCACATATAAGATGGCCGAATTGTAAGCGAATTCTTCACCTCCTAGTGAGGTGAGGTGAAATTGGGTTTAACGTCGTGCTTTAGATTATTTCGCTCATATGACGACGTGCATGCGTGTGTATGTGTATGTGCGGCTGCTTGTACTAGCCCAGACTTATGCTGGTTTTATAGTGCTAGCCCACTGAGATGCCATGCCGCAGTGAAGCATGAATACCCCACTCAGACACATTATACTGACTCCGAGCCGACCAGTCCTTGTTGTACCGGTTAATGCCGAGCGCCAGGCAGAGACCAACAAGTACCATATTTTAACGTCTTTGGGTATGACGCGGTCGGGGATCGAACCCGCGACCTTCCGCTCTCCGGGCGGATGCTCTAACCACTACATCACGGAGGCGGTCTCACCTCCTAGTGCCCACATTAACAAAATATACTATATTCTATTGTGTGCTCATGAAATAAAATTTTGTTTGAAATTCAACTGGCTCTTTTTCCACGTTTTATCAAGATGATCATTTTTCAAGGTAGCAGTATTACATATCTTCGATTCCGATGATTACCCAGCCGCACTCTCCATACAGAGAAGGCATTGCAAACAAGCGTGAGAACATTGCAAACACGGGCAAGAACAATGCAACCAAGGTGAGAGCAATGCAAACAAGCGTGAGAACATTGCAAACACGGGCAAGAACAATGCAACCAAGGTGAGAGCAATGCAAACATGGGTGAGAACATTGCAAACACGGGCAAGAACAATGCAACCAAGGTGAGAGCAATGCAAACATGGGTGAGAACATTGCAAACACGGGCAAGAACAATGCAACCAAGGTGAGAGCAATGCAAACATGGGTGAGAACATTGCAAACACGGGCAAGAACAATGCAACCAAGGTGAGAGCAATGCAAACATGGGTGAGAACATTGCAAACACGGGCAAGAACAATGCAACCAAGGTGAGAGCAATGCAAACATGGGTGAGAACATTGCAAATATGGGTGAGAACAGTGCCAACAAGCGTGAGAACAAGTACAAGATTACTGCATACATATTGCGACAGCCACACAATTCTGTTGGCGTGGTTGCGTGCATGCGTGTGTGAATGTGTAGGTGCGTGTGTCTGTGGCTGTTTGTATGTATTAGTCCAAACTAATGCCGGATTTACAGTGCGTCTACTGAGATGCCATGTCGCAGTATAGCCTGGCTACTCAACTCAAACACACAGTTCAGACTCCGACCCAACGGACATCTTGTGTGTGAGGGAGCTGTGGATGAAACACCAAACGTGCACCCTCTGCCCACTAAGTCTTGCAGGCGGAACACTATACGAAGTCCTGGTGTCTAAACAAAACCCGTCAATCGGACCAAAGCAAATGAACCACCACGATATGAATACTGTCCTTAAACTAATAACAGGGTGTACAATGTGGTTTGTACTGAACTGATTACATCAATCGGTGAATGGATCCCCAGTACCCAGAGGACTGTGTTCATAATATGATTAAATTTACATTATGCATACAAATAAACACGCATCAGCTGTTGCATGGTCTCTTTAAAAATATCGTATAAATATAATATTGTTAACAAATTGAAATTGAATGTGCGTGGTTCAGTACGTAATATTAGATGCTACTGGGGCCGAGGTGTCGTGGTTTGGAACAGTATTGCGAACGAATACATGGGAACATTTCCTCCACTGGGCAGAATATAAGTATCAATGGAACTATGGATGTCTATGCATTATGCAATTATTTTCTTCCACGGCTTTGTAATTGTAAGTACATATTTAGATTATTCTTCTTTCCCATGTCATGTAGAACGGGGATCACAACGCGATTTTAGCGCAATGAAAATTATCCTGCGTTGGAATTGGAACATAGACCTACGATCTTTATAACACTTAGACTGCTTCGTGGAACATGTCTCTGGCTGGTGTAACCCCGTCACCCTGTGGGATTCCAGGTTAGAATAGACAACGAGCAATCTATGCATTTCGTAAGAGACAACAAATGTTTTGGTGGTAGTTCGGTAACTTGGTTGATTGGGCTCATCGTTACCGACGGCGAGACACGTTGCTTGTGGCAGTCACCAGTTTGTCTGATCCTGATTCATTTATTTAGGAGCACCCGTTATGCAGCAGGTATATTTCTTGCCATAACATTATCGGGTGTTGCTCACACCGTTAAATGTTAGTTTCACGATCAATTGAAGGTTTTGAAACCTTACCCCATTTCCATGGCTACAGGACAATCTCCGCACATTTGCAGGACGACACAGGTTAAACATTAGCTCTATGGTTGAAGTACGAATGGACTAAACGCTACTTTCAAAAATAGCTATGTGTGTCCCCCAACTTGGAACCTGTTGCAGTTGTACTTCACTTCATAGTTTAAAAAATGGTTTGCACACGCCGAGGATGGCAGAGAGATCACGTAGAATGGGCGGGGATGGATCTGATACGGCTTAATTACGTTGTATTTTTAAATAAGCTATAACAACAGTCGATTCGTTGTTCCTTCCTCACACTAAAACTTCGGATACTTCGACAGTAATCTTCCTTCACTCTCATGAACAATGGATTAGACACCGACAGTAATTATCTTCCCTCACTCTCAAGAACAATGGATTAGACACCGACAGTAATTATCTTTCCCTCACTCTCAAGAACAATGGATTAGACACCGACAGTAATTATCTTCCCTCACTCTCATGAACAATGGATTAGACACCGACAGTAATTATCTTTCCTCACTCTCAAGAACAATGGATTAGACACCGACAGTAATTATCTTCCCTCACTCTCAAGAACAATGGATTAGACACCGACAGTAATTATCTTCCCTCACTCTCAAGAACAATGGATTAGACACCGACAGTAATTATCTTTCCTCACTCTCAAGAACAATGGATTAGACACCGACAGTAATTATCTTCCCTCCCTCACTCTCAAGAACAATGGATTAGACACCGACAGTAATTATCTTCCCTCTCACTCTCATGAACAATGGATTAGACACCGACAGTAATTATCTTCCCTCACTCTCAACAGAACAATGGATTAGACACCGACAGTAATTATCTTCCCTCACTCTCAAGAACAATGGATTAGACACCGACAGTAATTATCTTCCCTCACTCCAGACACCGACAGTCAATGGATTAGACTCTTCAAGAACAATGGATTAGACACCGACAGTAATTATCTTCCCTCACTCTCAAGAACAATGGATTAGACACCGACAGTAATTATCTTCCCTCACTCACTCTCAAGAACAATGGATTAGACACCGACAGTAATTATCTTCCCTCACTCTCAAGAACAATGGATTAGACACCGACAGTAATTATCTTTCCTCACTCTCAAGAACAATGGATTAGACACCGACAGTAATTATCTTCCCTCACTCTCAAGAACAATGGATTAGACACCGACAGTAATTATCTTCCCTCACTCTCAAGAACAATGGATTAGACACCAGACAGTAATTATCTTCCCTCACTCTCAAGAACAATGGATTAGACACCGACAGTAATTATCTTCCCTCACTCTCAAGAACAATGGATTAGACACCGACAGTAATTATCTTCCCTCACTCTCAAGAACAATGGATTAGACACCGACAGTAATTATCTTCCCTCACTCTCAAGCACAATGGATTAGACATCACCACTGGCCAAACCTCACACTGTAGCACAGTGATAGCTCATATGCGATCTTCTTGTTTTAGACAAACTGCTATAACGCTGTGTATTTTCAAACTGGATGTGATTTCACCTAACTGCATATGTAAGTTAAGTGTGCAGGTGTTTTCCTATTTCACCTTCACAGCAGTGTTATGGTAGACATTTCCAAAGTTGACGGTAGTGGCAACAAATCCGATATACATGTAATACCCATGTTGACTTTTTCTGTTATCCCCGTGCCATTTTTAGCGGACTTGTTTTGCGTGTGTTCGTGATGGGTGTCTCTGTAGAGCAGAATAATCTCATCTCGAACACCTGGGGTCATCAATGTTTGGTAGTGGTTCATACATGTACGCTTATAAGACCCGTGCAGATCCGGGTTAGAATTGATCTTCAGTAACCCATGTTTGTCGTAAGGGGCGACCAAAGGGATCGGGTGATCAGGTTCGCTGACGTGGTTAACTCTTGTCATCGTATCCCAATTGCGTAGATCGATGATAATGCTGTTGATCACTGGATTGTCTGGTCCAGACTCGACTGTTTACAGACCGCCGCCATATAGCTGGAATATTGCGGAGTTCCGACGTACAACTAAACTCACTCACTCAATCAGGTGCATAGATCGGCTCATGTGTCAATCACCGCTCTCTATGTTTTGTTTTAAAATCTTCCCATTCGTCATATGTGTACATATATATTGCTGGAATAGTTTTGAGTGCGGCGTAAAACTAAACTCACTCACTCACATACGCTTATGATGTATTAAGAATCGTAAAATTAATGCTTTTTTATAATTTTGTAGATTTTTCTAATGATTAGGGAAAGAGTGTTCTAGTTTTATATTTTCCTAAATAATCATGTTTTATGTTTCGTGGTGATACATGCCACTTTGTTTAATAGCTCTAAATGAAAGTCGTTCTTAATCCAAGGCCTCCCGATGGGAGTGATCGGACCCAGCCTCCCGGACTTGCAGTGTTTGCTGGGAATAGACCCGAGAGTTTCGAGTTATCTCTTGCTCTCTCAAGGTGTCGGATGTTGTAGTTGTCAGTTTGTGTCGTCACTTTTCTTCACACATATATCTCCATATTTGATCATCTGCTGCTGCCTGATCTTTGATTGTCTGAGCTTCTTCATTCTCCCAGTCAGTGGAAACTTCTACATTGCTGCAGCCGCCATGTTTGTGATGGGGGGTACGACAGAGGTAGGCTTATGCGGTGAGTACCTATTGTTTCTATGTCACTGATAGTTCTCAAAGCCTCCTACCTAATGATTCATAGTCATGCATACGACATACCTCTGATAGTAAGTGGATGTTGTTTAGAACCGCAGTACGGCGGTGAAAACTATATCCAAAAGGTGGTATCATACTGAAAATAAAGTATACCGTTTAAGGACCCAGTATGGACTACTTTGCGTTGCTGGAGGTTTTGTCGGAGATGTATCAGATGTTTCTGCAGTACACGCGTAAAGACTCAGTGTTTTGTCTGAAACATTTAGTAAAACCACACATTTCAGAACAGACATTTGTGTCTTTGAAAATCCATAAGAAAATATTTTACTGAACATTTCCGGGAGAAGAATTTCAGATGATCCACCCACAAGACAGTTATAATGTTAAAAAGCTATTAGAATTATGCTGAACTATTTAAGGATACAAATGTATCTAAAACATGTTCATTTCTTGCAGGTTTGTTCCACCTTTCGCATCGGGTATGGGCAGGGAACGAAAGAATAGTTCACCTCGTGATGGCAATAAGTGCTTCAGGGGCTGTGCTTGGGCCTCTACTGCTGAACCCTTTTCTTCACGGCGGCGTCTTCACAATGGCATACTTTCAAAAACACAACACAACTCTCGAGGATATATTTCATATATATCAAAACCTGTCTAACACAGGTCCTGTGACAACACTCGACAAATACCACATGGACCTTCCTGGAGTGTTACCTGAGAACACCTCTCAGTCTTTGAATGAACTGATTTCTGCTGAAAATTCACTCACTGGGAGTGCACGTTCCACATCATGTTCCGACTTCAGTACACTTATCGAATATCCATACTTTATCACGGGGGTGATAGGTGTACCAGCGATCATCCTTGGGCTCTATTTCTATATCAGACCTGGAACACACTGCCCAAGCAATTCCTACGAGACAGTGGTAGACTCAAGCACTGGAATTACCAACCCTGGAAATCTGTATTTTGTATTGATGTTCCTGTTCCTTCTCTGTAGCCAAGGCATTTCTGTAGCATTTTCGTCTCTCCTCACAACATTTGGTCTGACTAGTTCCCTGAACATCAGCCTGAGCACAATGTCAGTGATGACATCTTTCTTTTGGTTTATTCATTTTATTGGTCGTATGTTAACAGTACTACTCCCAAGAGGGACCAGACAGTTGTACATACTATGCATCTGCCTCGTGGGTACTCTCCTTGGAACACTTACTTTGGCAATGACTGAGTGGCTAGGAACAGCCGTTCTTTGGGCAGCGTGTGTGTTGATTGGCTTATTTACTGGCCCTCTAGTGTCTGCTGGGCTTACGTGGTCGGGTCAAGTCATTGCGGGAACACCAAAAAGCACATCCTTCTACGTAGTGGCCATATCTTGTGGATTTGGTGCTCAGTTTCTCTGTGGGTCTGTGATGTATGCTGTTGGACCAAAAGGATTCGTCTACTTTTGTGCTGGTATTTCTTTAATGATGTTAATACTTTACGTAACTTTATATGCAATTATTCGATCATTTAAGGGGAGTTTGTAACTCATGTAAACAGTTGTCATTTATTGACTAACCATGATTTAACATTTCAGCTAACATCGGGTAAATTACCTGTTGTGTCATCAAGCAGGATACTTATGTTCCAAGCTAAAGGACTAAAGTGTTGTTACAAATTGTGTCATTTGGGTAACCCTGTCACCTCAACCTAAATTCTTTCCTCTCTATCATGGCAACACATGGTGGGACACGAAGAGTGGGCTTCACCACTCTTGGCATCACCAGGTTTCAATTCCAGTTTCAGCCATTATGTATTATATACAAATATAAGCAACAAACCCTTTCCATGATCTACATATTCTAATCATACGAAATATATGATAAAAGCAGAAATCACCATGATCACTGGAGGATCCCAAGTATTTTGACTTTCGACAGATATCAGGCATAACATTCAGTAAGATGAAACAACCACAAACATATTCTAAGTACGCAACCAGGAGACCCTCTCATCTGTTTTTATCAACCATAAACATTTACTGGGACTATCAAGTGTGTGAGTAGACTGAACTCTTGAACGGTTTTCAGTAATTGATCAATAATCAAATGTAATCGTAAACCACCACAAAAATAATGTGGGCAATAACAGGACACAATAATAACATTGTTCAAATGAAACAGGCATAGATTAATACTAAGATCAAGACGACAGGTTTTTTCAGGGTGCTCAGTCATCTGTGAGTATCATCGTCTTGGGGGCTTTCAGACAATCGTTAATTGCCTGAACTATAAAACATGTCACTTACTTCTAAAAGACAACTTTATTTTAACAACAATTTTAATATTGAAAATGTCTGTGACAAACTGATTATTCGATCAATCACCCCAGCACTAGTTCTTGTTATGAAATGTATCTGAGTAAAGTCAACAACAGTTAAACTTGACCCAGCAGTGATACAAAACTGATGTGTGCTCTGTGATAGTATTGAAGCACTGCAAGTAATATAATATACTGAACATCATTGAAAACGCACCAGTCTAAACTTGTCCATATTTTCATCAAGATGGATTTCAGCATGACATTGATCAATGAATATAACTAAAATGAAGTCGAAGGGCATGTCCAGTTGAAAAAATGCTTTAGAAAAAAAATCCTGTCCACAGTATGACTCTTAATCCAAAAATGCATCAACATGCAGCCACGCCATGAAAAGAGCGCGTGAATTTCATTCTGAAATCATTCTGACTGTGACATTAAAAGCAGGTGTATGAGAACCGATTCTCACTGCTTCACTAACGATTGTGAAACGAGGACGAGAGATGCCCAGGTTAACACCTCACAAAAGAGAACGTGCACTAGGTATGATTCAGGTTGGCACCAGCAACAGGGATATTGCTCGACAACTTGGACTCCACCATCGTTAGGCTTCATAGACAACATCAGTAGACAGGCAGCACCCGTGACCTTCAGTGACCTTGGCAACAACGTGTTATGATGCTCCTGATAGCGCCATATTGACCTTGTCCATATCAGTGATTGAACACTGCCGACTGCCAGGACTGCTGCACTAGTTCAAGGTTGACGTGGGGGTCATCAGCGCTGACTCCATGCGACGCCATCTACACGCTACAGGGCTCCATGCTCGACGTCCTTACGTTGGACCAATTCTGACTGACAGACACCGTAATGAGCGTATACAATGGGCTAGCAGGCATTTTCAGTAAAGATTACAACAATGGCATGGTGTTGTAGTCACTGACGAGTCACGTCTTCATCTACGTAATGCTGACACAGATGCGAAACATCCGGGAACTTGAGGCTGCACTACTGCAGAAGTGGAATGACTCAATGAGGAGACGTTGAACTGCATGTGTCAATGCAAATGGTGGTCACACGCGATATTGACTTTTCGATCTGACTGTGGAACATTTCAATGAATGAATGTCTTTTCTGTCTTGTTGTTTTTGTCAGTCATCCATCTGTTATTATCCACTCAAAAAATATCAATTCCTTACACATGCTTTTAATAATCTGAACTTTTATAAGTGGTGCGTTTTCAATGATGTTCAGTATATAATTGCTTTGTAACTCAGGTACCCTTGTTCCTAAAAATTAATTATTCACGTATTCAGAATCACTACATTGTTTATAAACCTATCAGTATTATATTTGTAGTCTTTAATTTTTCAAAAGTCTAATTCTAAATCAGCATCATCCACATCTCCAACAGAAAATATTGAATAAGTTTGTATGTGGGGACTGTTTTCTTTTCCTTCAACATGTCCAAGCCCACATCTGTCCAAGTCAGTGGTTGCCCTTTGATGTCCTGGTCCACCTCCGTTATTGTCACCGTTTTTCAACGACCATATTTGTCCATTACTGTGTCCTTGTGACAACTTCCTGTGCCTGGACTGACCAATCACATCATCACCATGGTAACAGGTCATACTGGCACTACTCATGTTAGCATAACTTCTTAATGTTGAATTAGCAGCCTCTGTATTACTAGAGTGCTCTTGTGACAAGGATGACTCTGAAGGAACACCATCTACAAACTCTGACCACTTACTAGATGCTCCCTGACCATCTGCCAGTGAACTTAAACTGTCATACTCAAGATTAAATTCTGACTTTCCTAACCTCATTGTACTTTCTGAGCAATCAGAATCATCACTTTCTTCCTTGTCAATAAAACTTGACCATTTGCTATTTACTGCAACATTTTGATTTGATGTTTTCTGTTTCTTTTGAATGGAAGGCTTCAAATTCTTAACTGATTCAGAACATACTCCAGCAATGTTACAGGTGCTGTTCTGAAGTCTCTGATCAGGCAGCTGTAGATGACAGTTGTTGCCATCAGTTGACTGGTACTCGTGATATGGTTCATCACCTGTGACATTTTCTCTCCCTCTGTGTTCGGTGTGTGAGTTGTAGTCATCCCAGCTGCAGGCAACATGGCTTGTGTAGGTAGAAGGGAATGGATTATCTCCCTTGAAACTGTGCTGACTGCTGAAGTTTCCTGACTGTGATTTTCTGAAATTGAAAAACAATATGTTAATGATGGTAGATGTTCAGGTGTAACATGTTGTAATGCTACAAATGCAACACAAGGTAGCTAATTTCATTTGAGCATGAAATTTACACAGTAATTCATCATATTAAATATTTTCAATTATTGCATAAAATGTGAGAGAGGATTTTACCTCACTTCAGAGTGTTAAGTATGATTAGTCAGCTTCAAGAACCCTGTAATTATAAAACTAATGTGATCGAGAGATAACTAGATACATATATAGGATTAAAAAAACAATATGCAGCAATTTTTATGGACACACATGGTGAGTGATTGTGTAGGTATGAAAGATTTACAAGCAACAGGAATCATGAACATAGAGATTTTTTTTTTCTGGGTTACATCTTTTTATTCTCGAGTACAACGTTTCAGGGCTTGTTCTGGCCCTATCATCAGGTAAACTGAACAGTAACTGTTAACTCTGGCCGTGACGTCACAATGCTTATGACGTCACAATGCTATGACGACGCAATACATGTGGTGGTCAATAGATACAGATGACATGGCTCATAGAATACGTTATTATGAATATATAAGATGTCATTTACTGCAAAATTAATGGATCAATTTAGAACTGTGCAGATACTTATACAAAATTGTTGATTGAATTAGAAATGTACAGAGACGTATTTATAAATGTATAGAATGTAAAGTAATAGCAGTGTATACATAGAAATTATGCTTTATACATGGGAACAGTGACGAGGGTAGGGTATTGTCTTATTGTTTTATGTACCATGCATTTGGGAGGTAGACACCCTGGTCCCTGTTTATTGCTGGTTTTGTGCGTTTGATGAAGATAGCTTCAATCAACTTGCGTTTACGCCAGGCACTGATGTTTTTTTGAGAGGACTTCAGTTTCCCAGTCAATTTCATGACCGGGATTATTCATAATGTGTTCAGAAACTGCAGATTTTAGATCTGATTTGTCCACTGAAGTTTTGTGCTCTTTCACACGTGTAGCTACTGGTCTGCCTGTCTCACCAATGTAGATGTCACCACAGTCACATTTCAGTTTATACACACAGCCTTTAGGGTTGGATATAGCGTGATTGCACCCCTTACCATTTGCACGTAGCAAAGTTTTAAGGGTTTTGCCAGATGAGAAATTGGTGTCAATGCTGACAATACTGCCCAATTCCTGTCGAAACTTTTAGCACCATTAGGGAAAGAAGGTAAATCCTTCATCACTGATTCATCATCGTTTGTTAACAAACTTAAGGATTACCAAGCTTGTGGCACCATGGTCAGTTATGACGTGGTAGACTTATTCACTAACATTCCTCTAGAAGAATCCCTAGCAATCCTACGATCCCGATTAAAAGTCCTGTATAGACCATATCGACACAAAACTTTCCATCGACAGCATCATCAGCCTTGTATCCAGCTGTTTTGAAACATCCTATTTCACATGGCAAGATCAGATATATCAGCAGATTCATGGTCTACCCATGGGATCTCCACTCTCACCTCTCATAACTGAGATATTCATGACCAACTTTGAGGAAATTGCTCTGGCTACTTCACCATTCCAACCACTATGTTGGCACAGGAAAGTTGATGACACGTTCTCTATCCTAGACAACCATCATGACCCCAATGCACTCCTAGATCACCTCAACAATCAACACCCTAGAATTAAGTTTACGATGGAAACAGAACAGCATAACAACCTCCCTTTCTTGGACATCCCCATTGACAACTCAAACAACCAGCTCATCACGTCGGTCTATCGGAAACCTACCCACACAGACCAATATATTCACTATCACTCAAACCACCATCCCCAAATCAAGAGAGCAATTGTTGCCACACTTGCGAGACGGCGAAAAAGATCTGTAGCCCTGACCTACTGCAACAAGAAACAGACCACCTGATGACAACATTCATCACATACAATGGTTATCCAAAGAACCTTGTAGAAACCACCATAAAGAAAACACTACAAGATCAAGTTCAGCCTCCTCCTCAAACCTGAACCATCTCCCATCCGCATCAACATCCCGTATGTTGGGCCCATCAGCCACCAAGTCAGCAGACTCCTAAAGAAAATGGCCAGCATTGACACCACTTTCTCATCTGGCAAAACCCTTAAAACTTTGCTACGTGCAAATGGTAAGGGGTGCAATCACACTATATCCAACCCTAAAGGCTGTGTGTATAAACTGAAATGTGACTGTGGTGACATCTACATTGGTGAGACAGGCAGACCAGCAGCTACACGTGTGAAAGAGCACAAAACTTCAGTGGACAAATCAGATCTAAAATCTGCAGTTTCTGAACACATTATGAATAATCCCAATCATGAAATTGACTGGGAAACTGAAGTCCTCTCAAAAACATCAGTGCCTGGCGTAAACGCAAGTTGATTGAAGCTATCTTCATCAAACGCACAAAACCAGCAATAAACAGGGACCAGGGTGTCTACCTCCCAAATGCATGGTACATAAAACAATAAGACAATACCCTACCCTCGTCACTGTTCCCATGTATAAAGCATAATTTCTATGTATACACTGCTATTACTTTACATTCTATACATTTATAAATACGTCTCTGTACATTTCTAATTCAATCAACAATTTTGTATAAGTATCTGCACAGTTCTAAATTGATCCATTAATTTTGCAGTAAATGACATCTTATATATTCATAATAACATGTATTCTATGAGCCATGTCATCTGTATCTATTGACCACCACATGTATTGCGTCGTCATAGCATTGTGACGTCATAAGCATTGTGACGTCACGGCCAGAGTTAACAGTTACTGTTCAGTTTACCTGATGATGGGGCCAGAACAAGCCCTGAAACGTTGTACTCGAGAATAAAAAGAAGATGTAACCCAGAAAAAATATCATTGTTCATCAAATATCATCTTCTAAAATGCCAATCAAGCATCTAACAGGAATCATGTTCAAGAGTAAATCAGACTATGAAGGAACACACTAATAAAGATTAAGTTAAGTGAGCTCAAAGTTATTGATATATGCTGTTCACTTACTTCCTCTTTATGCTTCGCTTCATTGACTCTTTGTACATCTGCTGGTCTGTTGTCCAACGATCGTTGTCATCATGGTCATCATCAACACCCCCTCCTCAGTGTTTGTGGCATCATCATCCATGAACTGACCCCACCGTGATGTCAGCTGAACAGATAGAACAGAGAACTGACCCCCACTGTGATGACAGCTGAACAGAGAACTGACCCCCACCGTGATGTCAGCTGAACAGATAAAACAGAGAACTGACCCCACCGTGATGTCAGCTGAACAGAGAACTGACCCCACCGTGATGACAGCTGAACAGATAGAACAGAGAACTGATCCCACCGTGATGTCAGCTGAACAGATAGAACAGAAAACTGACCCTCACCGTGATGTCAGCTGAACAGAGAATTGACCCCACCGTGACGTCAGCTGAACAGATAGAACAGAGAACTGACCCCACCGTGACGTCAGCTGAACAGAGAATTGACCCCACCGTGACGTCAGCTGAACAGATAGAACAGAGAACTGACCCCACCGTGATGTCAGCTGAACAGAGAATTGACCCCAACCTGATGTCAGCTGAACAGGTAGTACAGAGAACTGACCCCACCGATGTCAGCTGAACAGATAGTACAGAGAACTGACCTCACCGTGATGTCAGCTGAACAGGTAGAACAGAGAACTGACCCCACCGATGTCAGCTGAACAGATAGTACAGAGAACTGACCCCACCGTGATGTCAGCTGAACAGAGAACTGACCCCACCGATGTCAGCTGAACAGATAGTACAGAGAACTGACCCCACCGTGATGTCAGCTGAACAGGTAGAACAGAGAACTGACCCCACCGTGATGTCAGCTGAACAGATGGAACAGAGAACTGACCTAACTGTGATGTCAGCTGAACAGATAGTACAGAGAACTGACCCCACCGTGATGTCAGCTGAACAGATAGAGCAGAGAACTGACCTCGTCGTGTGATGTCAGCTGAACAGATGGAACAGAGAACTGACCTAACTGTGATGTCAGCTGAACAGATAGTACAGAGAACTGACCCCACCGTGATGTCAGCTGAACAGGTAGAACAGAGAACTGACCCCACCGTGATGTCAGCTGAACAGATGGAACAGAGAACTGACCTAACTGTGATGTCAGCTGAACAGATAGTACAGAGAACTGACCCCACCGTGATGTCAGCTGAACAGATAGAGCAGAGAACTGACCTCGCCGTGATGTCAGCTGAACAGATGGAACAGAGAACTGACCTAACTGTGATGTCAGCTGAACAGATAGTACAGAGAACTGACCCCACCGTGATGTCAGCTGAACAGATAGAGCAGAGAACTGACCTCGCCGTGATGTCAGCTGAACAGATAGTACAGAGAACTGACCCCACCGTGATGTCAGCTGAACAGATAGTACAGAGAACTGACCTCGCCGTGATGTCAGATGAACAGATAGTACAGAGAACTGACCTAACTGTGATGTCAGCTGAACAGACTGAGATAGAACAGAGAACTGACCCCACCGTGAGGTCAGCTGAACAGACAGAACAGAGAACTGACCGCACCTTGATGTCAGCTGAACAGGTAGTACAGAGAACTGACCCCACCCAGATCTCAGCAGAACAGGTAGTTCAGAGAACTGACCCCACCGTGATGTCAGCTGAACAGGTAGAACAGAGAACTGACCCCACCCTGATGTCAGCTGAACAGATGGAACAGAGAACTGACCTAACTGTGATGTCAGCTGAACAGATAGTACAGAGAACTGACCCCACCGTGATGTCAGCTGAACAGATAGAGCAGAGAACTGACCTAACCGTGATGTCAGCTGAACAGATAGAACAGAGAACTGACCTAACTGTGATGTCAGCTGAAGAGATAGTACAGAGAACTGACCCCACCATGATGTCAGCTGAACAGATAGTACAGAGAACACACAATGAGAGCTTTCTTCAATATATGACCCACACATTACAAGTCACCGGTGAACTGGATTTGATTCACAATGCCACCCCATTCACTAAATACAAATTATTGCCACCTGTCAGTCTGTTTATACCATCATAAAAGCTGGTACGAGGCTAAAAGTAGATCATACGATCACTCTTAAAGTACTACTAACTTAGCTCATTCAATCAGGTTACTGCTTTTCTGTTCCACAATGGCCTGGACAATGAAGTTACAATCAGTTATAGTCACTGTTTCTTATTATTATGTTGAATCAGAGCACATTACACAATCAATCTTGATGATGTAAACAGACACAGAGGAACCTGATATATTCATATTTATATAAATTCTTCAAACTTTAATCCATGACACTGCATTGGAACATTTTACCTATCCGATAATGATTCTGGAGTACACATTAAGTACAACCAACCTGGTTATCTTGCCTGTACTGCAGGTCAGAGTGACCTAGGTCAGTGTGACCCAGCTCAGGCTCCCTGTGTGCAGGGTGATGCATGACCAACTGCTGACTGTGGTCCAACTCCCCTCTCAAGGTGTTCAGCTTCTGTACGTGAACTCGGCAGTCAGCACCACTGCCTTCTCCGTACACCTACAGCACAGGAAAATCTTTGAAGAACACGGATAAAGTTTCTTCAAAAGTTTTCTCAGCCCATATTTTCAGACATTGATGGGTACATGTAATCCAAGAATTATGTAAAAAAACTGTAAAACCATAAATATGATAAATCAAACCTGTTTAATTTCCTGTTATATGTGTCATCCCTACAAATCAAAAACATTGGTTATTACTGAAAATAAGGGCTTGGACAAATTTGTATTTCAGATTTGGAAATTTAACTGACACTTGCTACACACTTGTGAGATGAATATTGCCCTCTGAGAAGCGATAGATAAACTGGTGGCTTGTCAGGTTTCAAAATTATAATTTATGACAGTTCAATAACATCCGTCAGTTCATTATAAGCATGTTTATTATTAACAGAGTATATTGTATCCAGATCACAAAATTGTAGGATAATTATTGCTTGGTGTGAAATTCACTCCAATGATGCTGCATCTATGACTTGTCATCTACAATACCCTTAATCAATACAAGCCACTTTAGCATAATTTTAAATATACTTTCTTTTCATGTTATCATTTATTTAAATACACAATATCATATATCAAATATCTATGACAGACGACTCACACAAGACAAACAGGCCATGAGATGAGCAAACTCAAGAGAGACAAAAGCAACCTTTACCATGGTACTGTGATGCTGTGATGGTGCACTGAAATAGGCTAAAAAATCAAAATGCGTGTGTGTGTGTGTGTGTTGGGGGGGAAGAAATGATTAGGGGGGTCACCCATATTATCTTCTGGGGAGGTGGGGGTCATCAACTTGGTACACATGTACTTGGGTGGGTGGGAGGTCAGCACTTTTTACATACAAATACAGTCAAATCCCGATGAGTCGAATCTCTGGGGACCAAGTAATAAATTCGACTTATCGATGTATTCGAGACATAAGTATATCTATGAGGGTAGAAAAAAAGATGATCCAGTCCAAATTCCTCCGCCTAAGCATTTGTTTATCTAATGATTTCCCTATCACTAATAGGGGCACCTTATCAGTTCCAGTCTGATTAGCACAGACAGTGATTTCCGTAAAATCACTAATCTGCCTTTTGAACTCACCCGTCAAAGACGGAAAGGTTTGAGCTGCGCTGGTTTGTTAATTGGATCAGTTTACTACACCAATCAACTTCTCATTGACTGACTTCGGCTTATGTATACAAGATTGCTGTTGTTTGAATCTCATGGGACCAAATTTTCTTCTCGTGAGACGAATTCGTGTAACCGGTATTCAAATGATGACAACTATAACAGGGAATGGTCGGGACTGACAGGTACTTCGAGTTATGCATAATGTTCGAGACACAGGCATTCGACTCATCCGGATTTGACTGTAGTTACAAATCATGGGTACACCTACAGAATACCGGACACCTACCAGCCATATTGTTTAGTGTCACGTCACCCTAATCAGTGCTAATGCTAAGGTAAGAGTTCTGCCTGTAACCCCTGCTTGAAATGTATTCTATTTACTAGGATTAATTCGAGATTTTAGGGTTAGGTCAATGGTTTTAGGGTTAGGGTGTGGTTTAGGGTTAGGGTAAGGGTTAGTGTTACAATGCCGTCCGGTAATTCCGTGCACCTAAGCACATCAATCGCAACACGGCAAATAACGTCTCTTAGTTTTTGTGGTTTACGTGACTAAACATGCTGGTATGCATCATATTTACCTAGAAATATAAGATTCTAACGTTGCATTATGCCATACGGTCCTGACGACATCGCTTGCTGTCCGGTAATTCTGCGCAGCAACTGATGCGCATAACATCCAGTTGGAGATCCGAAGTATGGAAGCGTATTAGGGCCAGATTATTTTCAAAAATCACTTCATCAATGTAAGGAAGAGTGTTTCATATTAAATCCAATTATGAATAATGAAGAAAAAGGTTTAAAAGTCTGAAGAAAACAAATTTTCATAAAACTGTCAATTTATCTGTCAGTTACGGTTATGTACTAACCTTTAGTGATTAAAAGCCATTCTCTTATAGAAATGTCCCGATTTCAAGCGTAAATGTGGTAGCAGACGATGTCTTCCTTCGTACGGAAGTACGTTATTGCAGCTGCGCAGAATTACCGGACGCGCGGAAGGATTAATTAGCTGCTGCTGTTGTACTCTTACCCCTAACACCTTTTTTCAGATTAACCCTCAAGGATAGTAAAGGGTGCTGCCCTCAGGATCGGTTGCCATACCCTAACCCTAAGGATTTGACCCCGGTAACATTCTAGCCAGCAAGTGCTGATTTACGGGCAAAGATTAATTAGCGCTGCTGGGGTTCCCCTAACCTAACCCTTACCCCTAACCCTAAGGATCGTAAAGGATGCCTAACCCCAAGGATAGTAAAGGGTGCCTAACCCTAAGGATCGTAAAGTGTGCCATACCCTAACCCTAAGGATCGTAAAGGGAGCAGCGAGGGCTGCGCCCGGTTTTTAAAGTGCATTCTAGCCAAACGGGGGTTACGGGCGGAAGATGGCATGCAGGGTGTCACTTACTTTCTACACAAAATGTGGCCAAATGATCTCATTAATGTTCCATTTGAACAGAACTGATCTTTGCAGTGTTTCACGTTATATATTGAAACAGAAACAATTTTGAAGTTAAAATCAAACAAATGTTAGGGGTCAAAACCTGGTCGTACGTTAAAACGACGTTTGTGACAGAATTACTTTTTTGATGGACTGTTTCTCTCCGCACATCTTGCAGACCCACTTGTTGACCTTCTTTCTCTGTTGCACCTGGAAGGTGTGGCAGCTGTAGCACTGGACCACCTGAAACACCTGACCTGGCATCGCCACACTCGTGCTGAGCCAGTACTAAGTAAGGATGCTCTGCAAAACGCTGTCAAATGACCCAATCTTCCAAAGCTTGTATCCAATCGTATATGGCGCGTTCTGTGAAGGGGACGTAACTCTAATGTCACAAGTTTCCTTCATTCGACCTCCATTGCCCTGACATTGTAGGGTCAAAGCCATAACTGAAGGCATAAATTTGTAATCATGCATAACTTTCTATTTTCTGTATTTGAAATATATATAACTTTTTAAAATGGTGTATTTAAAGTCCATATACATGTGGTGCATCCGGTACCACGTTATATTAGAATATAGATATTTGATTCCTCGTTTAAATACTAACAATAGGCTATAAGGCATTATTCTGGGAAAAAAATATTGAAAGTATCTGGCCTGTTTGACATGGATAACTTGTTACGTTTGGTGAACGGATAATTTATTTCTGAAAATGTACCATAAAAATGATTTAGTAATGTTCATACGTCCATGTGTTCCACCAAATACTAGTATATGAATGATTAGGAAGCTTCAACAAGGGCGGGGGTTACACGCCCCTGGATTGATTCATTGCCTAAAGAAGCATCTTACTAAACACGCATATGATAATTAGTTGAATCGTCAGGCAATGTCTGCCGAAGCGCCATGAAACATCACTTTTTTCGGAAGAAGTTATCATGGATAAAATGCACAGACGGGCGAATTTTGTTTTGGCAGGTGGAGAATATTTATGCTTTATACCCATAAAAATGTCACCCGGCCTCGTAGCCTCAACATAATGACATATGACAAACACAAACGTCTTGTTACATTTTTACTTCAGGATAATCAAAGACATTGGGCGTTCATAAAGGAAAGATCGAGGAGAGTCAGGTCGATTCTTCCACTGTACATAACTAAATGTACACGAGTCAGAGAATGGGGCATTGTCATGTTGAGCTCGTGTAATGGTCTGTATGATTTGGAAATAATACCATCATTCTGCCTTCTATCTAGGAAAGTCAAAGAGTTACATTGCGGTCTTGTTCGCCTTTTAAGGAATGAACAAGATAGAAATTCAAATTGTATTCTGCTATATGTGCACGATTTCTCTTTTCGATAAACTTCAGCACCAATGGCCCCCACAATCAGATATGTTTTAGTCTCACCTGCGTTTGACTAAAATATACAGTATTTCACTGTACATGTTCACATGCTTTGTAACACGAAACATGAATTATATGTCACTAAATGAAAGTCCACGCGGATGAATTTGCAGCAATTATGACTAGATCATTCCATCAACGCTTTGCTCATTATGTAGATCAAGAAATACAATCATGATAAACTTAGATAATTATCTTGTTATCTTGTATAACGTCTCAATGTCGCACAAGGCATCTGTCTCACACGGGTAAATGAAGTAGAGTCTGCCTCCCTTTAGACAGAGGAATAATCAATACTTTTAAAAAGATATTTTAGAAAACCCTACTTTAATAATACTATCGTGAATTTGTCATGGCCCAACAGAGTAGGTACAGTAATATCAGTGACTCGGTGTTCTTAATCTTCTTTGAGTAGCGTACTTTATCTGTATTATTATACTCGTCTCACAGAAACTGATCCGAGTTACCCAAGGATGCTAGTTCTCTGTATCATATTCCTGAAATACAGGAGCAAGATGGCTTTGTAGCAGTAGCACGGGGACCATCGACACAATGTAAACATGTATCCATCGGACTACATGAAGATGATACGGTAAGCCTGGCGATATCTGAAACCAACAACCAGGAAATAGCCATTCCTTGGTGCATTATAACAGTACAACGCATATATCCCGTATTAAGACCTGCAAACAATTCGCAGCCATGTGGAGATATTTCTGATACACGTTGTCTTCATCTCGCAACGGCTGAATCCACAGGTAACCACATACATACAGGTAAACAAAAAGCACTTTCCAGGTTAATGATGGGTCGAGCTAAACCACGGGTAACCTGCAGGTGATCTGCAGGTAATCCTTTGTTATTTACTGCAAGTAACAGTAAATCTGACCAATGCTTGGTATTGTGAAAAGGCTCCCAAAGCATGATAATCACACCATTTCCCTCATCTCTGGAACAGCCATAGGATCGGTGAAAATGTAGTATGTACACATGATTTGATAGATGTAGGATGCTATATTTAGTGGAAATGTACATTCAGTGTGACAGCTGTCTTGCTATCTATCAATCATTGTCCAGACAGCTCGGACTCACAACAATTCACTCATCACAGTAACTGTTTGTAGGGTGTCGGTTGAGATCGGCATGTCAAGCACACTTTATCTATCACACACAGGTAATCACTTCATGGAAGTTGGTAAGGAGGTAGCATCATCTTCAAATACACATCTGTGAAGGTCACGTAATCCTCAGGGGTATACTGAAGCAACCAAGCTGATTGTTCCTCGCCTGGGAGACCTTTACTGGGTTTTCGGCACTTTGTGTCATAGACTGCTGAAACTATCAGCAAAATACTCTGAAAAACAAAGACAAAGAATTAGGAATAGAATTGGTCTTCAGAAACCCATGCTTGTCGTTATTATGAGGCGACTGAACGATCGGGTGATCGGGCTCGCTGACTTGATTGACACATGGCATCGTATCCCAATTGCGTAGATCGATGCTCATGATGTTGATCACTGGATTGTCTAGTCCAGACTCGATTATTCACATACCGCCGCCATAGACCTGTCAGGACTGTAGATAAGCGCACGTGACGTTTACAACACGGGAGTATTTCTGATTTCGTGTTTTCAAATGCGTATGAGAGCAGTGACATTAGAGGTTATCAGAACTGTCTTCAAGTACTCACAACTAAAACACACGCCAGTCCTGTATACGTGACGGTCCATTCGAAACCACCAACACCCACCATCCATCCGCCAAATATGGGACCTATGAAATCTCTGAAATAAAGAATATATTCGTATATATAATCGTCAGTATAACGAGCATCAGTCAACTGTAACACTGGTAACCGCTGAGGAACATCTTGGTGCTTTGAGAGATGTTCCATAGAGTGAGTGAGTGAGTTTAGTTCTACACCGCTTTAAGCATTATTCCAGCAATATCACGGCGGGGGACACCAGGAATGGGCTTCACACATTGTACCCATATGGGAATTGAACCCGGGTCTTCAGCGTGACGAGCGAACGCTTTAACCACTAGACTACCCCACCGCCCCAATGCTCTAATTGGACAATACCGGCACGACTGTTACGGGTCAGTTAAACCCAGTGATAACAACCCGATAACGCCTCCACGTGACCCGGCACATGACGTGGCACCATCTCATATTTGTACACTACATCCGACATCAGTGACGTATATGATCACTGCTTCCAGACAGGACTACATTGTACACATCGTATCGGCTGATATGATGAAACACTATGTGTCCTGATGACACACACCAGGGGCGGTGGGGTAGCCAAGTGGTTAAAGCGTTCGCTCGTCACGCCGAAGACCCAGGTTCGATTCCCCACATGGCTACAATGTGTGAAGCCCATTTCTGGTGTCCCCCGCCGTGGTATTGCTGGAATATTGCTAAAAGCGGCGTAAAACTAAACTCACTCATGAAAGCATAACGTTGTATTGTCCTCCGTGTAGTAGTCCTGCGAGAAATATTTCGTGATTATGAAAGTCCTCTGACCAGAACCCATACCGGGCATACGGTCATCATTCGAATTAATTCTATTTCATTTTTAACACTAAAAAAATATTGATGTAATTCATATATCCACTCCTTCTTTATCTTGTCTTACGTTTTGGAGGGAGGATGTAATTCAGTTGTTCTTTGATATTTGATTTGTACACTGTTAAAATACCTAATGCTATTTAGGCTATGTAAGAAGCAATTCAACGGAGTAGTAAGCGGTGACGAGCAATACAAATTTAGTCATTCCAATCATCAAGTTAATATAGACATCCTCAGTCACTTAATGCAATTCCTCTTGGTATATTGTTAATTAGCATTCGTTTTAATCCCCCCGAATTTCTAAACAGTATTCCTTGAACATGATTGTATTGGAACCCTATGAAGACGTACCCCATTGCATACATAGAGCACCAGATCCCGGCAACAGCTCCTTTAGTTTCCATGTTGTCATCCAGACCACGGGCCCTGTAACACAGAAGCACAGGTGACTTGTTGGATACTGGTCAGAACATTGACGGGTCAAAGTATATTTATGCTCGGTTGGACACTACAGACGAAGGGCCAGCGGTTGTGTGTTGTTATGCAATTTGTAGAAAGGGACATGTCTACAAATCTACCGTTGCTTGCTGCTAAACATCTCAACCCGTATCGAGGCTTATACCGCTGGGGTTATCTCAGGTAGTTGTTCCGTACAACAAATATACCAAAGTGTAACATGCTAATTTCACCGGACGCTCCTACAATCGAAGCTGGGAAATAGAATATTCTACCTTCAGAGTAAAGACTAGGTTTTAATTGCTCAGATACAGCTGAAAACGTATGCCGCTGTGTAATACATGTTCCCTCTTGCAGTGCCACAAGACGTGGAATAAACCAAATGCACAAAAATGTGCATATTCTAATACTTTAAAAGATGTTTAGAAAGTAGCGTTCATTTAGTAAAGCCCAGAAATTTGTTGTATTTCGGCAAAGATCTTGCAAAACTGTATTTATACCACGATGGACAGGTTTTGCTATTACATTCTTATAAATGGACTACAAATACTATTATAACCCATTGTTCTTTAACTATTCCATGTATGTAATTAGCAGTCTCTTATAATCAAAGGCTCATATATGTTTTAAGTAGACATATTACTTCACTGTGTTATTATAGGAGGTGAGATCTAAATATAATAATCTGTTTGCTATGACTACAGCTTGATTAATATATGAGAGTAACGTTAAGTACCTTCGCTCACGACCCACCGTACACACACTCCCGCCTCGCTCCCACACCCGTCACCACCCTACAGTTTGATTAATGTATGAGCGTAACGCTAAGTACCTTCACTTACCACCCACCGCACACACATTCCCTCACTCCCCACACCCGTCACCACCCTACAGCTTGATTAATGTATGAGCGTAACGATAAGTACCTTCAATCACCACCCACCGCACACACTCCCCTTCCCCCTCCGACACCCGTCACCACCCTACAGCTTGATTAATGTATGAGCGTAACGATAAGTACCTTCACTTACTACCCACCGCACACACACTCTCCCTCCCTCCCTCCCACACCCGTCACCACCATACAGCTTGATTAATGTATGAGCGTAACGCTAAGTACCTTCACTCACCACCCACCGCACACACACACTCCCCCTCACTCCCAACACCCGTCACCACCCTACAGCTTGATTAATGTATGAGCGTAACGCTAAGTACCTTCACTCACCACCCACCGCACACACACACCCCCTCCCTCCCACACCCGTCACCACCCTACAGCTTGATTAATGTATGAGCGTAACGCCAATTGTACCTCATCACTCACCACCCACCGCACACACACCCCCTCCCTTCCTCCCTACCCGTCACCACCTCTACAGCTTGATTAATGTATGAGCGTAACGCCAAGTAAGTACTTCACTCACCACCCACCGCACACACTCTCCTCCCTCCCTCCCTACCCGTCACCACCCTACAGCTTGATTAATGTATGAGCGTAACGATAAGTACCTCTTCACCTCACCACCCACCGCACACACACACTCCCTCCCTCCCACACCCGTCACCACCCTACAGCTTGATTAATGTATGAGCGTAACGCCACTAGCACCTTCACTCACCACCCACCGCACACACACACTCCCTCCCTCCTCCCACACCCGTCACCACCCTACAGCTTGATTAATGTATGAGCGTAACGCCATAAGTACCTTCAATCACCACCCACCGCACACACACACTCTCTCCCTCCCCACACCCGTCACCACCCTACAGCTTGATTAATGTATGAGCGTAACGCCAATTAAGTACCTTCACTCACCACCCACCGCACACACACACCCCTAAACCCGTCCCACTCCCTTGATACACCCGTCACCACCCTACAGCTTGATTAATGTATGAGCGTAACGCTGATTAAGCACCTTCACTCACCACCCACCGCACACACTCCCCCTCCCTCCCTACCCGTCACCACCCTACAGCTTGATTAATGTATGAGCGTAACGATAAGTACCTTCACTCACCACCCACCGCACACACACACCCTCCCCCCTCCCTCCCACACCCGTCACCACCCTACAGCTTGATTAATGTATGAGCGTAACGCTAAGTACCTTCACTTACCACCCACCGCACACACACACTCCCCCTCCCTCCGACACCCGTCACCACCTCTACAGCTTGATTAATGTATGAGCGTAACGCATAAGTACCTTCACTCACCACCCACCGCACACACTCCCCTCCCTCACCTCCCACACCCGTCACCACCCTACAGCTTGATTAATGTATGAGCGTAACGCTAAGTACCTTCACTCACCACCCACCGCACACACACTCCCCCCCCTCCGACACCCGTCACCACCCTACAGCTTGATTAATGTATGAGCGTAACGATAAGTACCTTCACTTACCACCCACCGCACACACACACTCCCCTCCCTCCCTCCCACACCCGTCACCACCCTACAGCTTGATTAATGTATGAGCGTAACGATAAGTACCTTCACTCACCACCCACCGCACACACACTCTCCCCCTCCCACACCCGTCACCACCCTACAGCTTGATTAATGTATGAGCGTAACGATAAGTACCTTCACTCACCACCCACCGCACACACACACTCCCCCTCCCTCCCTCCCACACCCGTCACCACCCTACAGCTTGATTAATGTATGAGCGTAACGCTAAGTACCTTCACTCACCACCCACCGCACACACACTCCCTCCCTCCCTCCCACACCCGTCACCACCCTACAGCTTGATTAATGTATGAGCGTAACGCCATAAGTACCTTCACTCACCACCCACCGCACACACACACCCTCCCTCCCTCCCACACCCGTCACCCACCCTACAGCTTGATTACAATGTATGAGCGTAACGATAAGTAAGTACTTCACTCACCACCCACCGCACACACACCTCCCTCCCTCCCACACCCGTCACCACCCTACAGCTTGATTAATGTATGAGCGTAACGCTAAGTACCTTCACTCACCACCCACCGCACACACACACACCCCTCCCTCACCTCCCCTACACCCGTCACCACCCTACAGCTTGATTAATGTATGAGCGTAACGATAAGTACCTTCACTCACCACCCACCGCACACACACATTCCCCTCCCCCCTCACCGATTCCCCTCCTCACCACCCTACAGCTTGATTAATGTATGAGCGTAACGCTAAGTACCTTCACTCACCACCGCCGCACACACGCCCTCACCTCCTCCCACACCCGTCACCACCCTACAGCTTGATTAATGTATGAGCGCAACGATAAGCACCTTCACTCACCACCCACCGCACACACACATTCCCCTCCCTCCCACACCCGTCACCACCCTACAGCTTGATTAATGTATGAGCGTAACGATAAGTACCTTCACTCACCACCCACCGCACACACACACCCCTCCCCCCCACCCACACCCGTCACCACCCTACAGCTTGATTAATGTATGAGCGTAACGATAAGTACCTTCACTCACCACCCACCGCACACACACACTCCCCCTCCCCTTCACCCGTCACCACCCTACAGCTTGATTAATGTATGAGCGTAACGATAAGTACCTTCACCACCACCCACCGCACACACATCTCCCTCCCTCCCCCACACCCGTCACCACCCTACAGCTTGATTAATGTATGAGCGTAACGCTAAGTACCTTCAATCACCACCCACCGCATACACACTCCCCCCACACCCGTCACCACCCTACAGCTTGATTAATGTATGAGCGTAACGATAAGTACCTTCACTCTACCACCCACCGCACACACACATTCCCCCCTCACTCCCACACCCGTCACCACCCTACAGCTTGATTAATGTATGAGCGTAACGATAAGTACCTTCACTTACCACCCACCGCACACACACACCCCCCTCCCTCCCACACCCGTCACCACCCTACAGCTTGATTAATGTATGAGCGTAACGATAAGTACCTTCACTCACCACCCACCGCACACACACACCCCTCCCCCCCGACACCCGTCACCACCCTACAGCTTGATTCAATGTATGAGCGTAACGATAAGTACCTTCACTCACCACCCACCGCACACACACACTCTCCCTCACACCCGTCACCACCACCCTACAGCTTGATTAATGTATGAGCGTAACGATAAGTACCTTCACTCACCACCCACCGCACACACACACCCCCCTCCCTCCCACACCCGTCACCACCCTACAGCTTGATTAATGTATGAGCGTAACGCCAGCACCTTCACTCACCACCCACCGCACACACGATCCTCCTCCCCCCCGCACACCCGTCACCACACCTCACACCCTACAGCTTGATTAATGTATGAGCGTAACGATAAGTACCTTCACTTACCACCCACCGCACACACACACCCCTCCCCACCCGACACCCGTCACCACCCTACAGCTTGATTAATGTATGAGCTTGCGACGTAACTAAGCACCTTCACTCACCACCCACCGCACACACACACCCCTCCTTCCGACACCCGTCACCACCCTACAGCTTTGATTAATGTATGAGCGCAACGCTAAGTACCTTCACTTACCACCCACCGCACACACACCCCCTCCCCCTTCGACACCCGTCACCACCCTACAGCTTGATTAATGTATGAGCGTAACGATAAGTACCTTCACTCACCACCCACCGCACACACACTCCCTCCCTCCTCTCCCTACCCGTCACCACCCTACAGCTTGATTAATGTATGAGCGTAACGCTAATTAAGTACCTTCACTCACCACCCACCGCACACACGCTCCCCCTCCCTTCCTCCCACACCCGTCACCACCCTACAGCTTGATTAATGTATGAGCGTAACGATAAGTACCTTCACTTACCACCCACCGCACACACACATTCCCCCCTCACTCCCACACCCGTCACCACCCTACAGCTTGATTAATGTATGAGCGTAACGCTAAGTACCTTCACTCACCACCCACCGCACACACACACTCCCCCTCCCGACCTCCCTCACCACCACCCTACAGCTTGATTAATGTATGAGCGTAACGCTAAGCACCTTCACTCACCACCCACCGCACACACACACCCCTCCCTCCCTCCTCCCTACCCGTCACCACCCTACAGCTTGATTAATGTATGAGCGTAACGCTAAGTACCTTCACTCACCACCCACCGCACACACACTCCCTCCCTCCCTCCCTACCCGTCACCACCCTACAGCTTGATTAATGTATGAGCGTAACGCTAAGTACCTTCACTCACCACCCACCGCACACACACACTCCCCCCCTCCCTCCGAAACCCGTCACCACCCTACAGCTTGATTAATGTATGAGCGTAACGCTAAGTACCTTCACTCACCACCCACCGCACACACACACTCCCCCCTCCCTCCCACACCCGTCACCACCCTACAGCTTGATTAATGTATGAGCGTAACGCTAAGTACCTTCACTCACCACCCACCGCACACACACTCCCCCTCCCCCCCCGACACCCGTCACCACCCTACAGCTTGATTAATGTATGAGCGTAACGCTAAGTACCTTCAATCACCACCCACCGTACACACTCCCCCTCCCTCCCACACCCGTCACCACCCTACAGCTTGATTAATGTATGAGCGTAACGCTAAGTACCTTCACTCACCACCCACCGCACACACACTCCCCCCTCCCCCCCCACACCCGTCACCACCCTACAGCTTGATTAATGTATGAGCGTAACGCTAAGTACCTTCACTCACCACCCACCGCACACACACCTCCCTCCCTCCCTCCCACCCGTCACCACCCTACAGCTTGATTAATGTATGAGCGTAACGCTAAGTACCTTCACTCACCACCCACCGCACACACACATTCCCCTCCCTCCCTCCCACACCCGTCACCACCCTACAGCTTGATTAATGTATGAGCGTAACGCTAAGTACCTTCACTCACCACCCACCGCACACACACACTCCCCCTCCCTCCCTCCCTACCCGTCACCACCCTACAGCTTGATTAATGTATGAGCGTAACGCTAAGTACCTTCACTCACCACCCACCGCACACACACTCCCCCTCCCTCCCTCCCACACCCGTCACCACCCTACAGCTTGATTAATGTATGAGCGTAACGCTAAGTACCTTCACTCACCACCCACCGCACACACACCCCCTCCCTCCCTCCCACACCCGTCACCACCCTACAGCTTGATTAATGTATGAGCGTAACGCTAAGTACCTTCACTCACCACCCACCGCACACACACTCCCTCCCTCCCTCCCACACCCGTCACCACCCTACAGCTTGATTAATGTATGAGCGTAACGCTAAGTACCTTCACTCACCACCCACCGCACACACACTCCCTCCCCCCCCACACCCGTCACCACCCTACAGCTTGATTAATGTATGAGCGTAACGCTAAGTACCTTCACTCACCACCCACCGCACACACACACTCCCCCTCCTCCCTCCCACACCCGTCACCACCCTACAGCTTGATTAATGTATGAGCGTAACGCTAAGTACCTTCACTCACCACCCACCGTACACACCCTACCCCTCCCTCCCCCCACACCCGTCACCACCCTACAGCTTGATTAATGTATGAGCGTAACGCTAAGTACCTTCACTCACCACCCACCGTACACACGCTCCCCCTCCCTCCCACACACCTTTCCACCACCAAACCCCCACTCCCCAACCCCCCTTCTGTGCCAATTGACGTGAGAGTGCTTGATTTTGTAAAGTCAATTATTATTGAAACCACCTACGGTGATACAAGAGCACATTATACAGAATGTTACTTACGCAATTACATGTGATGAAAGACAGACAGAGATAAGTACTGGCATAATTATACAAATGTTACTTTATTTATTTTTTGTCGAAAATAGCTAAGATACTCGATATTAATTTAGAATTTCATATAGCGTTTAGTCCTGCATGGCATGCCACAGATTGTTGTTTAAATACATTTGGTATCCGTGTACAACATGTGCCCATACAACACAGTAGAGTTTGGTATCCGTGTACAACATGTGCCCATACAACACAGTAGAGTTTGGTATCCGTGTACAACATGTGCCCATACAACACAGTAGAGTAAGCATGACTTACGTTGCGACGTCCAGCACTATCTCGTAGGATGGAATGACGGCCATGCTGATGGCAAATCCAAGAGTTATCAGTGACAAGATCGTCAACCAGATCTCTCTGTTGATAAAACATAATCAGTACAGGTAATACATTATTACATACATAAGCATGGAGTAAGCAAACATACTGGTCGTGGTTTTAATACTTATATGGTCTCAACATGGTCCAATACGTTTCTGTGACTCACTCACTCACTCACCTGTAATCTGGATCAAAGCCAAGAAGGGGAGAACCGCCGAGCAGTAAGTGAGATATTGCACACACCATGAAGCCGGGTATCATCAGGATCCGGTTGTCCGGCTGCAAATATAGACGGAGCCCAGTCAGTACTGGCCATCATCAGAAGGAAAGTGAACAGACTGGACGTGGTGAAGATATTAATATTAATTATAGCAACATATTCGGGAAGCAAAGCAACACAAAATGTTTCTTTACAACTTGAAACGGGTCTCTTACGCTCATCCACATCTCTCCACGCTTTGAACTCATCATATTTAAGCAATATATCTCTTGGAATCATAAAATGTCGGTTTGTGAAGTCTCATTGATGTTCCTCTGGTTTGGAACAGAACTTCTGTCCCGTTTGAAGGTTCACATTAACTCCTGAAATTGCCATCATGGTGGTGTTAGAACTGACCAGCCTGTCTGCAACCCAGCTGCTGATTGGAGAACCCAGGGCGTAGGAAGCAGAGAGGATGAGGAAGATCACGCCGCTCATTTCTGGAGTTAAGCCGAACTACAACGCAAAAACATGGTGATCACATTGAGTCTCAATAACTTCAAACACGCCTTAATACATTGTTGCTGATTCATGCACTTACTGAAATACACAAGAAGAGGGATGGTTAGGGAGGTGAGGTGAGGTAAAATTGGGTTTAACGTCGTGCTTGAGAATATTTCGCTCATATGACGACGTGCATGCGTGTGTATATGTATGTGCGGCTGCTTGTACTAACCCAGACTTAAGCTGGTTTTATAGTGCTAGCCCACTGAGATACCATGCCGCAGGGAAGCATGAATACCCAACTCAGACACATTATACTGACTCCGAGCCGACCTGTCCTTGTTGTACCCATTAATGCTGAGCGCCAGGCAGGGACCAACAAGTACCATATTTTATCGTCTTTTGGTATGACGCGGTCAGGGATCGAACCCGCGACCTTCCGCTCTCCGGGCGCTCTAACCTCTACACCACGGAGGCGGCCGGATGGTTAGGGAACCTAGTGGTTAAACCATTTAAGGTTCGGGCTCGTTCCTCACTTGGGTACAATGAAACCCACTTCTCGTGTTCCTGGACTATTGGTAAAAGGTACTTAATAAAGAGCTGTTTTTATCATATAATAAAGAATTGTAAATGAATTGAATTTTAAGTTCCGTTTCATAATAAAAAGGAAGTACAATGGCGGAGGCGCACAGCGGTTTATCTACAAATTGCAGCAATGAAAAGAAACAAACTCAGTCTTCGGGGAACAAACACTCTCACAGTCTCTATCATAATAACATAGCTTGTGCATGGCATCACGTTTCAACGAAGTAGAACTTATGAAGGTATTGTGTGCCACTAATATGGCAGGGCCTTCGATCATTTCAGTGATAACAACTTACGTCTGTGAGTCGTGGTTCCAGTATGGGGTCCAACACTGCCCACACCCCTGCCCCCAGCATCACTGACAGCAGAGTGACCAGCGCCGTTGGGTCTTTCAGTATTGTTCGGGTGGCCGAGATTCCTTTTGGTTTAGCAAGTGCCCGTTCGTCATTGGTGGACACAAAGCGCGGGGTATCTACAAAGTAGGTACACGTGTTGTGCATCATAGTATTACATCAAATGGTTATACGTGGAAAATAGCTGAGAAAGTATTCTGCAATCGGACTGACTGAATAACATTGTCAAAACATGGTACTACTAGTTAATTCTGGAAATCTTCATACCGTCCTACGAGAACTTTCTATCATTTGAGACGTCGGTTCCTAATCAAATATTCGGAACTGTTAAACATATATTATGATATAATTTTTATATATATTCTTATACATAAGATATTGATATAATAATATCATGATAATATAAACGTATTAATATAATACTATTTTTATGAATTTACAGAGCCCCATTTTGATGTTTTGGCAGCGTTTTCAGACATCCAAGCAATATTCTGTATGTTATGGTACTACTAATGTATCTAGCACACTGTCGTTGAATTACTATCAACAAACATCGTACCCCGCACAGCTGGAATGAGGAAGTAGTTGAAGGGAAGACTAAGGACAATCAGACACCCAACAACCACGAACGGCAGGTGAAAGCCACCCAACTGCAACATACAGAGATCATTATGGTCACAGTTCTGAACTGAATAAAGTGTGATTGAGTATAGTTTTACGCCGCCTTCTGCAATATTCCAGCAATATTACGACGGGGGACACCAGCAATGGGCTTCACACATTGTACCCATATGGGGAATCGAACCCGGATCTTCGGCGTAACGAGCGAACGCTTCAACCACTAGGCTACCCGACCGCCCCTACACTGAATAGAAGCTTGAACTGTAGGAAAGCGATCCAGGACAATGTATGTACTATCGTTTGTCCCTAGTTCTTGATGCTGCTTTTAGTGATATTTTAAAGAATTTTAATGCATTTTTATAACGCGATTTGATGCGTTACCATTTGGGTTTTGTGTTGTTTTTATCAGGCAAACGCCATATGAAGCCCAATGAAACCCATTCACCAATCCACCCATTCATCTGTAAAACTTCCCATCCATTATCTTAGAAACAAACAAAAAACCTTTCCCGTAAGTCGAGTGTTGCATCTGAATCAGATGCAATCGCTCCCTGTGTTTAGCGTGATTTAGGACGCATTAGAATGGTTCACTTCAAATGGCTTCAGTAAATGTGAGTCAGTGGGCATTGAGCTCCAGCTAAACTGCTTTCCCAGATAATTTAAACCCAGCTGAGCAGTTACCACTCGTGAACCTTCATTATATGATACATTACAAGATACACTAATGTGCACACAAATAGTGAATGAGTGAGAATGGTTTTACGCCGCTTTTAGAAATATTCCAGCAGCATCACGGCGAGGTTGACACTAATAACACACCTACAAAATATTTGCGCCTAACGATAATTCTCTGAAAAATATAACATTTTAATAGAAACGAACATTTACAGTAAAGAGAAGCGCCAGAAAGGTGTGGAAAATCTTGCTCCATTTAGACTGTAACATTACTGTACAGTATGATTCAGAGAATGTACCACAGTCCAGAGAAACGTGTAGTCCCTGTGGTGTTAAGGTCGAATCTCAAACGTCTATCCTAATGTCGATCATCAAATCAAAGTGAATTTGTTTAAATGTCTCCTTGAACAGTATTCCAGTTATATAACGGCGTGTGATACTGATATGGGAAAAAGGCGATGCGGGTCTCACTTTACCACGAAGGTGCTGATCAACCTAGAAACATAATCTCGTCGAACCGGAATTCGAACACACAATTCTAAGTTTGTATTGTGCCCAAGGGAAGCAACTCTGCACAGCTACTTGCGGTGCCTAGACGCCTGGGCCAGTATTTTCCCAGGATCGGTAGTTTGGCAATTGAAAAAAAAACTTTCAAAAGGCCACCTCGCCGCCTCAAGCGATCGCAGTCAGTAAGGTATCATTTTGCACTCTAATCGGACAATACCGGCACGACTGTTACAGGTCAGTTGAACACAGTGATAACAACCCGATAACGCCTCCACGTGACCCGGCACATGACGTGGCACCATCGCATATTTGTACAATACATCCGACATCAGTGACGTATATAATCACTGCTTCCAGACAGGACTACATTGTACACATCGTATCGGCTGATATGATGAAACACTATGTGTCCTGATGACACACACTAGGAGCGGTGGGGTAGCCAAGTGGTTAAAGCGTTCGCTCGTCACGCCGAAGACCCAGGTTCGATTTCCCACATGGGTACCATGTGTGAAGCCCATTTCTGGTGTCCACCGCCGTGATATTGCTTGAATATTGCTAAAAGTGGCATAAAACTAAACTCACTCACTCATATGGCACACTCACGCGGTGAACTTGAAAGTAAGACAGAACCGTTTCAAGGCAGTGGTAAAAATATATACATGATTGAAACTATAATTATGTCTATTCATGTTCTAAGGGAAGATGGGGTAGGTAATTCACAAGACCTAACGAGTCCCCCCTTGGAGAGGATCTAAAGTAAAGATGTTACAACTCAGGTTGTGTCTAACGTAAACCTGTCAGATCTCAAGTCGATCTATAGTCTGTTTGCAGTGAAAACGTACCGATGAATTTCACTTTAAACAAAAATGTAAATCAAATAAAGTGAAATTAAGATTGCGAAACCTCATAATTTTACCTTGCCAATTAAACATAAATTTCAGAATTTTATTCAACTTAGACGATCATAGATTCAAATCGCTATTATTGGTTTGTATTACAAGGAAGTAAACGCAGTAATTGGAACAGTGATACAAATGCACGTGCGGTACCACGGTGAGCGACTTAGACCAACCCTACTTCTCGGTATTCCATTTAATGTGCATACCCCCTTGTAATACAAACCAACAATAGCGATTTGAAACTATGATCGTTTGTTAAACAACTTTTATCCTAAGTTGAATAAAATTCTGAGATTTAAATGTTCAATTGGCAAGGTAAAGTCATGAGGATTCGTACTTCTAATTTCACTTTATTTGATTTACATTTTCGTTTAAAGTGAAATTCATCGGTACGTTTTCACTGCAAACAGACTATAATAGACGTGTCAAATTTAAAGTCAGGATTAGTGAGTGAGTGAGTTTAGTTTCACGCCGCACTCAGCAATATTCCAGCTATATGGCGGTGGTCTGTAAATAATCGAGTCTGGACCAGACAATCCAGTGATAAACAGCATTAGCATCGATCTGCGCATTTGGGAACCGATGACATGTGTCAACCAAGTCAGCGAGCCTGACCACCCGCACCCGTTAGGCGCCTCTTACGACAAGCATAGTCGCCTTTTGTAGCAAGCATGGGTTGCTGAAGACCTATTCTACTCCTGATCTTATGGGAGGGTCAGGAGTAAGAGAGGTTAGGGTTAAGAGAGGGTCAGGATTAACAGAGGGTTATCGTTATGAAAGAATCAGGGTTAAGAGAGGGTTAAGGCCTCTCTGTTATTTGTATTGAGCATTACGATTTAAGCTATGTTATAGCTTACAATCACTAATGCAGGTTTGATTCGGAATACTGCAGGACACGTCCCAGACATTAACTCTATATTAGACTGTTTACATGCGGGTACAGAATCAATTCAATTTCGTTGACGTCTAACTCCCTACTTAACACCTGAGAAAAAATTTGGCGTTAGTCTTTTTTCCAAACTTCAAATATCGACATCCACAACTCCATAAAAGTCTCACCGTGTACAGAAATCCGCCTATTGCAGGTCCAACCGTCATCCCTAGCCCCACAAACACCTCTGTCAATCCCTGAAACATTGACTGGACTGTTAGCGTAAATACACGTATATGGTACTCAGACATATGTTTGATTTAGCTGAAATCTGCCTCATGAACTCAACTGAACCATGTTTTCTCTCGGCCGCAGTACACGCATATAATAAAACGTGCATTTAATTATAAGTGCATTTATAATGCGCTAAACTCCATTTACTACGTGGATGCTCCTAGTGCTAACAATTTCACTATTATTACCCCGGATAGCCCAACCTGCTAGTGAGGCGCTAGGTTATTAGTCCCATGGCTTATCCCACCGGGTACCCATTTTTCTGCTGGGTGAACAGAGGCAATTTTAACAAACTCATTTGCCTAAGGTGAGACCACATGTATCACATGTGCTTCGTTGTGGGGCAGGACTGAAGTCCTAGAAACTCTCAGGAGTCAAGCTGCCAAACACTGTCCCCCCATTCCAGGACTCTCCGTGATCAATGTTGTTCAAATTCAACTGATTTGTGACAGAACCACACGCCTCCGCTATATGTGGAGGTGAAAACATCATACACTATACAAAACATGTTCGACACATATGAGCATTAATTAAGCAACACACATACTGTTTACAAGTACGGAAACACATATTGTTGTTACAGTATATAATTGAAACCGAAATCCGCGTATTAAAATCGTAACTGTTACAAATTTGGCTCTTACTAAAACATAAAATTAGCTGAAATTGAAATTTGATAATAATTTACTTGCAAACTGAAAGCAAAACAAAAGTGACATTAACAAAGCCAGAGAGTGTGATCACCATGAGTCCACCATGGCGGTTCTCAAGTAACGTCCGACGGGGTACTTGTCAGGGCGCCTTGCTGGCCACGGTAATGTTTCGATTGCGTTGTTTTGCAATGGGCGATGACGGCGTTGTCATGAATATCGGACGACTGGCAGGGAATTGGTTATCAAAATGTGGCGTGACTGTAGTATCCCATACTTCCTGTCGATAACGTTGTCCACTGAGGGTCCAAAGTACTGTATGAGATCTACGTGTATTCGCCATCACTCACCCCCAACAAAGGGTTGAGATGTATGGACCATCTCCTGGGTGCCGTTGTATAAAGCGATCTTAGGGTTATGGTTATCGCAACTCCCATACCTTAACATGGACTTACGACTGTCGTAGCGCTAAGGTTGTTTTGTACACGGCGCCCTGGTGATAAACCTCGTTACGACGCCTCCATACGCCACAACGGCCTTCGGTAACATGTTAAAGAAGAGACTTCCATCAGACCAATGGGCACCTTCTCGGAGCTTGCTCATAGAAAGACGTTCCTGCCGGTGTCATTTGCGAGGAAGGGGTGTCTGATCGGACGATATTCCGTCAGTCCATCCGCCTATAGCCTCCTTCTCGGTGGTAGAGAGTCGGACTCCAAACGTCTATTGAAGTCGCTGTTCTGCATGGGTCATTTTACATGCGCAATCCAGTATGCTAGGGAATGGTCGCCCATTTGGACCAAAATATAATAATTGCCCATCGATTCAGGCGGTGCTTAATTAATGCTCATGTACATATTAGATAATAACAAATGTTGCATAAGAAAGCTTATTGACTGAAATAAAACCTTAACGTTTAACTGCCTATGATGACATACTTACAAACACGGTTGTAAAGTTTGACGCAAACGCTTTGGAGGCCATAGCAAATGTGGCAGTTTGTTGAGCAGTGACTCCTACAGACAGGACGATCTGCATTAGGAAGCAGTACACCACGAACACGGTCTGGCCGTCGGCTACTGGGATGTACTCCAGTATACTGTAACACAGGGTTAAGGTCATCACCAGAAAGTAACATAGTACATGCAAGGCAAAATAGTGAAGATACGATTGGATCAGAGAAAACAGAGATGATGACAGCTGTTCACGAAAAGTAGTGAGTGAGTGAATATTGCAATTTCGAAGTATTCGAGATACCTAATACACAAACAAATGTTAAACAGTCGGCAATAAGGTGTTTCATTTTGGTTATAAATTCTTTGATGTTTCAGTATTTTAATATATAACACCAATGGATTTGTGTGCTTCAGAAATCGGAGTGTGCACCAATGTACCCCCTCCGCAAGTCCTGATCCGCGTGTTGTTAGGTAGACAGTATACAATCAACACCCTTGTCTCGAAGGACCTACTTCGAGTTATCCAACCCGTGATGATCCAGGTTAGAATTGATCTTCAGTAACCCATGCTTGTCGTAAGAGGCGACTAACGGTATCGGGTGGTCAGGCTCGCTGACAGGGTTGACACATGTCATCGGTTCCCAATTGCGTAGATCGATGCTCATGCTGTTGATCACTGGATTGTATGGTCCAAACTCGATTATTTACAGACCGCCACCATATAGCTGGAATATTGCTGAGTACGGCGTAAAACTAAACTCACTCAATTTCGCAGTAATAAATTACTTTCGCTTACCCTTACCTAACCGATAACGCGTTGTGAACAAGTTATTTTGATTTTGTCGACATGCTGAATGTCGAGGTTCGACACAACCGGATAACTATGAATACAGAAAGCGTACGTTGGAACCAAGCCTTTACTCCGAGACAATCGTTCGTTCGACACACCAAAGCTCGACACAACAATGTTTTATAGTGAGTGAATGAGTTTATTTTTACGCTGCTTTTAGCAATATTCAAACAATATCATGGCGGGGGTCACCAGAAATGGGCTTCTCATACATGTACTGTATCCATGTGGGGAATCGAACCCGGGTATTCGGCGTGACGAGCGAACGCTTTAACCACTTGGCTACCCCACCGCCCACCCCTGTAAACAGACAGTTGTGTTTGTGAACTTACCCAAACAGTAACGTACACCCGCCAGCGAAAAATACTCCGGCTAGGTAAACGAATCTGGATCCAATAGTTGGGATCTGTTAGAAACCGTTAAAATAAGAAGAAAAGTATAGAACGTGCAAATATATAATGTAAATGCTTCAAATAATTTATTGGTACTGAGATACAAACTTACTGTTACCCCGGTTAATACAATAGTAAATTCACGTGCATACATTAAGACCTTAAGAAAACTTACTTGACAAACTGACAATGCAACAGTACTTACATATTTACCAATAAGTGGAGCAAAGATTACTTGTCCGAGAGCGTACGCGGCAAACACCAATCCGGACACGAACGAACTGATTCCACGCACCTCCGTCTGTAACATGTAACATGTAACATGTAACTACCATAGAAACTGATCACAGTATGCAGCATTGCTACAGGCAACTACGTAAACTCAAGTGTTTAAGAACAGAAACTACAACAAACTACCATAGAAACTGATCACAGTATGCAGCATTGCTACAGGCAACTACGTAAACTCAAGTGTTTAAGAACAGAAACTACAACCTGTTTAACGGAATTCAAGAAACAATCAAATCAGTTCGATATTCATAAGCATAATAACATGCATTTCCTTTGATTTGTTCACTTATATTCATCACGAGTTGTAAATCAGCTGGTTGAATTATTTTGGTGGAGTATAATACTTGTATGGTCAGGAAGCCAGACCCCAAAATGGTGAAGATGTGGTGCAGGTTTGGCCACCGTATGGGATGTGATGTTTCCCAATAGGAATGATTTGTCATCAGTTGTCATCAGCTTCCGTGCGTGACTACCGTGTAGGGGCCCTTTTAAGCTGCAACATGTCTTTTCAGCTTTGGTAATATTTTAACCAATAACTGGATGGTTTATTTCAATAACTCTGGTTTGGATTGACCAATTTTCATCAAAATAGTAGTTTTGGAATGCTCAGGTCATGATATATAATTGTGGACAAAATAATATATATAATTATGCTCATCGCAAAAATATTTTGGTTAGGTCAAAGATCAATTTGAATAGAAAGTGCATTTAATTATAAACATATGCGTACAACTTCACAAATTAAAGGTAATTTGTTTCGAATTCAGCTATATCATTTGAAAATCATATATACGTTTTGTTGGCATTGTATGCATGATAGATCATTACAATTAAACAAAAGTTTGTACTTTGTATTTAGATCAGCAAAATATTCGATACTTTCAGCTCCATGTTTACAAAGTATCAAATATGCCGAAGATTCTGTTGGACTGTCACACACATTCCGTTTATTGACAGTCTGGCAGAAACAACAATTCAGCTGATGTCAGAAGGAGATATGAATTGATAAGTGTCAATATTGTTTATATTTGTGTCACTTCACGCTCCAGCTGCACTGCACTAACATACCGTGAAACCCTTAAAGCTGATGGATAATAATATGACATCACAATGGAAGGTTTGTTGGTGACATTATGCTATTATGGTGTGCAATGTTTAAGTGTTTACAATGTGAAGTATTACGACTTATTATTCTTGATTATTTTATACCGGCAATCATTAATAGATTGTAAAAGATATTACACACTGACCAGCAAGGTTATTAGTATCCTACCACCAATACTTATACACACCACTCACATACCTCTGAAATGATGAATCGTACAAACCCATGAAGATCTGGTTTAGAATTGATCTTCAGTAACCCATGCTTGTCGTAAGAGGCGACTGACGGGATCAAGCCCATTCTTAACACATTGGCTACGATCAAAGTTAAGAATTCTTAGGGCTACGAACGTTTCGAGAATAGGGGTCCAGGTTATTCACTTCGCTTCAACCCATTGTCAGTTCTTTAGACAAATGTGAGTGGGAGAAAGGGGCTACAGCTGTTGTCACATTGAAGTATGATAGTCTGGATTATGCAGTATATTGTTACTCTGTTCTGGTTTATTGGGTATTAACTGACGACAACATTACAATTTGCGACATGTTTCGAATCCGTACATTATACAATGCAGTTCTTGATCCCTGATTCCTGGATTCAATCAATAACAGAATATCTGTAAAACTACTTGTGATCGAACCCTGCTTAAAGCTGCATTACTCCCAGGTACTTACGCACAGTATTGTTATACTAGAGTTCTTTGAGGTATGCTTGTTTTCAAATGTATTGATTTAGTATTCTAAGCAACGCTGGAGGTCTGGAGACTGCATTAACGCCTTGAACAGATACCTCCCATCCATTCTCTATTTCCACTACCCCATGGACAATTGGAGGATATAATCATGCTAATTAAAAGATCGCACACGCACAAGGTACATACAATGTACTTGGATTAGCCTTGCCATATTCCGTAAAATCAAGCAGATATTCAATATCATAAATACATGTTGATCAGTTTACTGTGCAAACATTATTAAAATTCAATCATGATTAAATATTGTGATTAGGGTGTAGTTGTGTGACATGTCACCTAAAAGGAGAACAAGATATCAAGAAGACACCCATCGTCATTGAAGTGTGTTTGAGGAAAAGTTCAGCACTTTTTGCCCTTCCTTTAGTACTCGTTACAAACACACGTAAATTCAAGTCACCAGAAAAACCTGTGGGTTTATGGTACAAACAAACAATAGGTCACTTCATTCGCTACTTCGGTGTTAGTGAGAAAATAATCAAGTTATCCTGCTTAGATGGATTTCATCGTGAATAGCCCCAGCCCATACAAATGTAACAAGAAACAAACGAAGAAACACACGCACAAACCCCAAACAAATGTAAGAAAAAGGTTTTATCAACAGTTGTCTAATGTGGGAGAAATTCAGAAACAGCTATGGTGTTGAACAACCAATAAGCAAATGCGGGACATGTTTAGATCCATACTTACAGGATCCTGGCACGTTATACAAAAGCGTAAGTCTCTGGAAATAGGAAAATTTGATAGAAATAAATAAATCCGTTTATACTGAATTAGCCCGAGTGAGCTCAGAGATTCAGAACCAGTGGGAATCTAGACTTGCTTCATTTTGGACTATTGCATGTAGAAAGTGTTGGGCGGACAGTTTGGAGTCTGAGAGAGACTACTGGCATATCTAAGGTCCCAGCGATACAGAGCGAATGTGGTTCTTACGAGGAGGGAAACGCATTTTTAAAAAAACTAATCTCCTAGTGATAGTATAAATTAGTATTTTGGAAAATAAATATATAGATCTGGGCAATCAGAAGATTTCCTTCATTTAAAACACGCACAGCTGTTGGCTTCATAATGTCTCTTGGAACAATGAAGTTGACTACAGCCGACTTGGTAGTGTCCATCTGGATGAGGTATGTCAATACTTTAGGACTGACGTTGTATTGGAGACGTTCATTAGTTGATCAAGAGAGGACCAATTCCACGATACGCTAACTATTGTCAAGCCATTAGCCCTCTGCTTGAAGGACAACGTAGTCATGCGACATACTGAAATCAGGAAACGAACGACAGTTGGTCTTTTAGTGTCGATCTGGGCGAGGTCACCCACTACTGTCAATTTACTATCCGATTTCCAGGTTTTCCTCGCAAAATCTAATTCTGAAGCTTCTAACTTGTCTGCGAACGTCTATATCTACTTCTGTGCGTGTATTAAATAGTTGATAGTGATTGAATGTAACTTGACAATTCATTAGATGTTACTAAACCTGAGGCCTGCACATTTTTTATAAACGTTATTGTAGAAACAAAATGTTTACATAAATATTATATCTAGGAATATCTTTTAGTTGTCCATTAAACTAAGGCACTTTATGTTTTGTATCTAAAGTAATACGTTTCTGTCGTAAAAGATCTCCATCAAATATTCATGAGTGATAAAGTTGAAATAAATTTGGACTAAATCGTCCCCGTGGACCTTCTTCAGCTTCATAGCTGTGCATGTTAAAGTCAATGTACAGGAAGGTTTAGCTGTAAGAGGTTGAACCTGTTGTGTACTTCAGCATGTGGATGTGGACCTGAAACATGTTCCCGTGGTGTTGACATTGTTGACATCGACTAACAATCGACTGGGAATACACTAAGAACAATAGATACGAACTGATATGAAGGAAATGTTGCTTGCATTATGATGATATGACTGACTCAACATTCTTTGATGAGCAAAGAAAGACATCTGAAATAATAGAATTATACATTTAAGAGCTTTCTGTTATGTTGCGTGATTTTAATGATAGTCCAACAGTGTCATTGACATATCTGGCAAATTGATACTATGTAAAGCATGGAGCTGTTACTGTTGAACAGATATTATGTAATAATTTGCCGATCTTAATTCAAAGTACCAACTTATTTTTCTTTGTAATGTTTTTTCATGCATACAGTGCCAACCAAACGCATATATGATCTTCAAATGATATAACTGAATTAGAAACCAATAATTTTGGTAAAATTACCTGTAATTTGTAACGTTGAACTCATATTTTTTCTCATCAAATGCACTTTCTATTTAAATTGAACTGACCGTTGACATTACCAAAATATTTTTGCGATGAACATATATATGATATTATTGAAGAGAATTTTAAATCATGACTACTATTTTATAAAATTAAACTACCCAGTTATCGTTTGAAATATTACAACCATGACTGAAATCATATGTTGTACGTTAAAAAGGCCCCCGCACGGTTGTCATGCACGGTAGCTGGTGACAACCGGCTTTAAATCATAGCTAAATCCTTCCTGATTGTGATCCCATTCGGTCGCCAGAACTGGACCACATTTTCACCATTTTGGTGGTCTGGCTTCTAGACCAGTAGCCATGGTTTGTATATAAGAGTGCGGACTCCCTACCTCCTCGGGGTAGAGGGGACTCATAATGGACTCGCTCATCATGATGATGAAGCTTGTGGAGCAGATGCTGACGAGGACGCACTTTTGGTGCCTTGACAACCGTCGAAAAGAAAAGCTGCCCTCATTTTCGACCTCCTCCGAGGAATGTTCATCAGTTTCATCGGTGTCCAAACTTTCACTGCACGACATGATCTGTTGGCAAAAGTGTATATACAGTGCAAAGGTGCGTGAGTCAGCGAGTTGGGTTTTACGCCGCTTTTAGCAATATTCCAGCCATAGACTTCACATTGTGCACATGTGGGGGGATCGAACCCGGGCCTTCGGAGTGACGGGCTAATGCTTTAACCACTAGGCTAACACACCGCCTGTTAGTTCAAGGTAAATACATAGTAGAGCTACACGGATAGGTGTCGTTGTCGGCACGGGCTCTTCAGATGTGTACCCCAGGTTTGTACTGCGTAATACGTACACAACATGCTCACCGTTTGTACTCACGTACACGGTTTGTACTGCGTAATAAGTACACAATGTGCTCACCGTTTGTACTCAGGTACACGGTTTGTACTGCGTAATAAGAACACAATGTGCTCAACGTTTGTACTCACGTACACGGTTTGTACTGCGTAATAAGTACACAATGTGATCCCCGTTTGTACTCACGTACACGGTTTGTACTGCGTAATAAGTACACAATGTGATCGCCGTTTGTACTCACGTACACGGTTTGTGCTGCGTAATACGTACACAACATGCTCACCGTTTGTACTCACGTACACGGTTTGTACTGCGTAATAAGTACACAATGTGATCACCGTTTGTACTCTTTATGTACACGGTTTGTACTGCGTAATAAGTACACAATGTGATCACCGTTTGTACTCATGTACACGGTTTGTACTGCGTAATAAGTACACAATGTGCTCGCCGTTTGTACTCACGTACAAGGTTTGTGCTGCGTAATACGTACACAACATGCTCACCGTTTGTACTCACGTACACGGTTTGTACTGCGTAATAAGTACACAATGTGCTCGCCGTTTGTACTCACGTACACGGTTTGTACTGCGTAATAAGTACACAATGTGCTCACCGATTGTACTCAGGTACACGGCTTGTACTGCGTAATAAGTACACAATGTGCTCGCCGTTTGTACTCACGTACACGGTTTGTACTGCGTAATAAGTACACAATGTGATCACCGTTTGTACTCCTTATGTACACGGTTTGTACTGCGTAATAAGTACACAATATGATCACCGTTTGTACTCATGTACACGGTTTGTACTGCGTAATAAGTACACAATGTGATCACCGTTTGTACTCACGTACACGGTTTGTACTGCGTAATAAGTACACAATGTGATCACCGTTTGTACTCACGTACACGGTTTGTACTGCGTAATAAGTACACAATGTGATCACCGTTTGTACTCATGTACACGGTTTGTACTGCGTAATACGTACACAATGTGCTCGCCGTTTGTACTCACGTACACGGTTTGTGCTGCGTAATACGTACACAATGTGATCACCGTTTGTACTCACGTACACGGTTTGTACTGCGTAATAAGTACACAATGTGATCATCGTTTGTACTCACGTACACGGTTTGTACTGCGTAATAAGTACACAATGTGATCACCGTTTGTACTCACGTACACGGTTTGTACTGCGTAATAAGTACACAATGTGATCACCGTTTGTACTCATGTACACGGTTTGTACTGCGTAATACGTACACAATGTGCTCACCGTTTGTACTCATGTACACGGTTTGTACTTCGTAATATGTACACAATGTGCTCGCCGTTTGTTCTCGTGTACATGGTTTGTACTGCGTAATACGTACACAATGTGCTCACCGATTGTACTCACGTACACGGTTTGTACTCCGTAATACGTACACAATATGCTCACCGTTTGTACTCATGTACACGGTTTGTACTGCGTAATACGTACACAATGTGCTCACCGTTTGTACTCATGTACACAATTTGTACTCCGTAGTACGTACACAATGTGCTCACCGTTAGTACTCCTTAAGTACACGGTTTGTACTTCGTAATGTGTACACAATGTTCTCACGTTTGTTCTCGTGTACATGGTTTGTACTCCGTAATACGTACACAATATGCTCACCGTTTGTACTCATGTACACGGTTTGTACTGCGTAATACGTACACAATGTGCTCACCGTTTGTACTCATGTACACAATTTGTACTCCGTAATACGTACACAATGTGCTCACCGTTTGTACTCATGTACACGGTTTGTACTGCGTAATACGTACACAATGTGCTCACCGTTTGTACTCATGTACACGGTTTGTACTGCGTAATACGTACACAATGTGCTCACCGTTTGTACTCATGTACACAATTTGTACTCCGTAATACGTACACAATGTGCTCACCGTTTGTACTCATGTACACGGTTTGTACTGCGTAATACGTACACAATGTGCTCACCGTTAGTACTCTTTAAGTACACGGTTTGTACTCCGTAATATGTACACAATGTGCTCACCGTTAGTACTCCTTCAGTACACGGTTTGTACTGCGTAATACGTACACAATGTGCTCACCGATTGTACTCATGTACACGGTTTGTACTCCGTAATACGTACACAATATGCTCACCGTTTGTACTCATGTACACGGTTTGTACTGCGTAATACGTACACAATGTGCTCGCCGTTTGTACTCATGTACACAATTTGTACTCCGTAGGACGTACACAATGTGCTCACCGTTAGTACTCCTTAAGTACACGGTTTGTACTCCGTAATATGTACACAATGTTCTCACGTTTGTTCTCGTGTACATGGTTTGTACTCCGTAATACGTACACCGCATGTACGCTGTTTGCGCTGTTACAAAACATGCATGTATTCCACATGATCAGTTCACCTGTACATCAGTAGTATGTAAACAGTCTCCGCACCAGCACCCAGCATGTACGTACCTCACTACTGCCGCCATAACTGCTCTGACGGGAAGCGGCCTCTTGGTTGGTGTCCATTTCCGAGCAGCCATTTGCGTATCACATCACCTTCTCCTGGAAGAAAAAATGGCAGTGAATAGAAGTTTGTTTCACAACATATATGTCATACAAGTACTCATCTATAAACCAGTGTTTACATCTGACACGCTGTGATATACATGGAATACGAGACTCACTCGTTATACAGCGCGGTGTTTGGTACTTGTTATCATCATATATATAGCCGACGCGTAAAAACAAAAATTAAACGGAAACCAACTGTTATAGTTGCCATGGCATAAACGTCGTATTCCGCAATATTCCCGTGAAGATCCGGGTTAGAATTGATCTTCAGTAACCCATGTTTGTCGTAAGAGGCGACTAACGGGTGGTCAGACTCGCTGACTTGGCTGACACATGTCATCGTATCCCAGTTGCGTAGATCGATGCTAATGATGTTGATCACTGGTTTGACTGGTCCAGACTCTATTATTTACAGACCGCCGCCATATAGCTGGAATACTGCTGGGTTGTTGTTGGTTGTTGGTTTGTTGTTGTTTTGTTGTTTTGTGTCGTTACACGTTATAATTAACGATTAAAGCTAAGGATATTTAGCTTTGTCGTACGGACGTTCACCATTAAAGGAAATTCTCATAATCTTAGTCAACACATCTGTCGGGCCGTGATACTAAAGTAAATTCTCCTTCTACCACCAACACAAACCAGATAAAAGAACAAACATCAGTGTAAGTCCCCTGCGACACTTGCCGAGGCGTTTATTAAAACTGTACGCGGTACATCACATCACAGCGATGATTAACGCCTCACCGTCTTGTTCAACGCAAACATTCCTTCAAGCAGATTGACCTTCCTGCAAGGCAGTTTCTACGTTTGCACCCTAGAAGAAAAAAAGTACGCATATTATCACTGTAGACATCAGATGCTACTGTAACATCTCCTCCACCTACAAGGTAGGTATGACAACACTGCAGCAGTGTTTCTCATTATCATCTCTTCTTGCAGCACCTTAAGTGTCACAAATCAATATGTTCAGTACTGGTGTCGCAGCCGAGAATGAACTTACCGCGCTATGACGTCACATTTATAGACATATCTGACAGCGCCCTCTAGACCATGCATTACCTCCCCTTTTATCTGGTTTGTCCCTAAAGAGAAATCAATTTCTATCTAATTCACCCAGCTCAAACGATAGAAATTTCATTAAAAAACCTTTCCGGGTATAAATGTGATTTTGATCCTTATGTAGTAATAAAGTACAAGTTTTATACCTAATTGTATCATTCCTGCTGTTAACAGCTTTATAACCTTTGCGCGAATTTTATCTCCATTTCTCACAAGAGCAACGGGTGAAGGTGAGCATCCTAAGTACCACGATTATGTCTATTTAAAGCTATAACTAAACAGAGAAACGTAAACGCTGATTTTTAAATACTTTACTGTGTTCAGTTAAAATGGCATATTTAATTTCATTTGATTGATACTAGAATCAAACTTATCACACTGACAGTCACGTGTTCTGTAGACAGAATGACACTACTGATTATTCGGTCACAAGATGCGTACATCAGGGGAGGAATCCTATTAGTACCTGGTGAACCACCATGTACAGGCTGCAAAGGTCTACAGTCTACAGATGCCACCCTGTGGAATTCTCGTCTATGTTTTTCAGCAACGCGTCGACCAGTTGTGTTTTGGGAGTATGTTGAAGTGGACGTACACGTCTCACTCGAGTTCATCCCAACGATGCTCTGTTGGGTTCAGAAGATCTGGAAGTCCATGACTAAGCATTGACGTTTGAATTATGGAGGAAGTCTTGGCCAATAACGTCTCGGGCGATCTTGGGTTTGAGTGATGCAGCTATACAGATCCAACAAACGATGGTGCTCTTGGTCAGTCACTTCTAGGTCAATCTCGGCTTGGATTGAGGCTCCTATGCAACTCCCACAAACGAGATTTGGTGCGATCGGTCTATCACTTCTTAGACGATCTTGGCTTGGATACCACAATACGATATGGTGACTCTTGGTACCCTTCTCAAATCAGGCACGTAGCCTGCAGTCACGGTTGCATGTCGATGAACGACCTGGACGTGGCAATTTTGTGCATGGGCAATGACTCTTGGTCTATCACTTCTCGGACGATCTTGGGTTGGACGGATGCTGGTATACAGATGTATGGTATTCCGGCGCGGGCTGCAGACTGGGACTCAATGTGGACTGACCAAATGTGGGATGACCTCGACCTTTTATAGTCACTGTCACTACAGATTGTTGTCACAACATTTACGAGCATTCTGATTTTGATTTCCATTCTACATTTTCTTGCATATTTGGCTATTTCGTGCATACATTGTTATATGATCTTTGACTATTTCGTGCATACATTGTTAAATGATCTTTGTCTATTTCGTGCATACATTGTTAAATGATCTTTGACTATTTCGTGCATACATTGTCAACTGATCTATGACATTTTCGTGCATACATTGTCAACTGATCTATGACATTTTCGTGCATACATTGTCAAATGATCTATGACATTTTCGTGCATACATTGTCAAATGATCTGTAACAATTTCGTGCATGCTTTTTATATAAAGCGACAAAGATTACAACAGTTGCGTTTGTGCACAATGCAACGACGGTATTTCGGCAGTCCAATTGCGGTAGATGTAACATAGCTCATGTACAATAACTAGTAATAGTATATTATTAGAACTCCTGACCAACGAAAACGTCAAGTACATCAGAATTATTCAACAAAAGTAATGGACTTCCTTGCATGACACCACTCTGGGTGGAAGGAATATACTGATATAGAGTCATATACTGCTACTGTACATTTTACTTTAGGGAACATGACTTGAATTACAATGAGTGAGTTCATTTTTACGCCGCACTCAGCAATATTCCAGCTATTTGGCGGCGGTCTGTTAATAATCGAGTCTGGACCAGATAATCCATTGATCAACAGCATGAGCATCGATCTACGAATAGGGATACGATGACATATGTCAACCAAGTCAGCTAGCCTGACCACCCGATCCCGTTAGTCGCCTCTTACGACAAGCATGGGTTACTGAAGATCATTTCTAAACCAGATCTTCACGGGTACATGAATTACATGAATGTCTCTACAGGTATTCCCTCTTAAACACAATATACCACAACATATAAATCGTCAGAGTAAACCACGTTCGTCTACGCTATATTTCAGTTTAACGCTAGCGGTACAACGACATATGACCCTATTCGCTTTTTAATGTTTTTGATGTTTCTAAGATAGCAATAGGCGAACAGTTCACGTACCACGATGACAGATTTTATGACTGGAATTGACAAGATCAAGAATACTCACACATTACGCTGTTTAGAAAATAATCGGTGTCAAGCGAGCACCACCATGAAGATGCATAACCCGCCCTTAGTCATGTGATAACCCCTGATAACAAAGTGGTGTTATTTACCTGTTCGTATAATCTTATGTCGGCTATTATTATACTGGTGCCAGATAACATTCCTCAAGTAGCTCCTTGATTTATCAACTATATACCAGACACAAAAAGAAACTGTACACGTATGAAATCAAAATATACCTAGGGAGTATGTTTGTACTCAAATACAGATGTAAACAAAATAATATGTAAATTGAATACATATGCATGCACATTGACTGAAGTGGTTCCGGCCTGGGCACGTGCAACACGTTTGTGCGCGCGCATCTTGACTGCGTGGAACACATGCGTGTCAACAACTGCTGTCGATTTGGGAAGCTACTTGTTGGACGTTCGATAGTTCAAAAAATTAAACGGCTGAGGAACTACACATTCCACGAGTCACATGCCGCGAGTCACGACTGTACAACGTCATGAGGATACTGAGATCGTCCAGGGTGTGTGAGTGTGGGTGTGGGTGGGTGTGGGTGGGTGTGGGTGGGTGTGGGGGGTGTGTGCTTACTTGGTGGTACGGTGATGATTTGGAGTGGGACACGTACACGTCAGAGAACCCCAGTTGTTGTTCAGGGCAATTTTACAAGTGTGGGCTACAGAGATCAGATTCTCGTACTAGTAGCAATTTCGTTTTCGTCATGGCCAAGGAATGACATTCTAACATAATGCCCGTCCTCACACGGCTGAAGTTCTTGTGGCTTTTCATTGACAGCACAATGTTCAAGTACTGCCTCGGCCTGCATATCTGTTACATTACTAACTTCATATGAATATAGTTACTTTGTTATATGACAGATCATCCGTCATGGGAAATACTCACTAGTTCTCTAACTCTTGAGTTGTATATGTCTCATGTCAGAAATACTATTGGTTTTACACTTCATGTTTAGAGAAGCTGTCCTCCTATGTTAAATAACAATACGTCACACGTGTTATACAAGCGACCTGGCGTGATAGCTGATAACACAATCACTTCAATGAGGTTCAAACGCTACTCGTTGGTCCCAATGACACTGTGGTTGTTTAGAGCAGAGCGACACTGGGTGTATATCAACGGCTGACCTGATGCACGTGTCAAAGTTGATACCTTGGCACGTGGGATAGCGATGTGAGTAGCAGGCCCCCGTTTCCCTGTCAGTTTAATGCTAATGGCACTTATCCCCACAAACATGACACAACATACCTGTACCGACTGAAGGGTGAAAGGTTTCAGGAAACTAAGCTACAAAAAAAAATACAGATAAAAGGTTATAGAAAAGACTTTTGTAATTTGTTAGAGAATCAATGTGTTAGGAAAACAACCCAAATGTAGAGGTAGGTCAACATGACCAATACTCCTGACCAGCTCCAGATATCACCAGTTAAGGCCCGATTAGCAATAAAGATGTTTGCCAGATGATTCAGATATTCACTCGGATAGTCAACAGTTGCATCAACGAATTCAGAGCCAAGAGAGTTCAGGACCGCCTGAACACATGTTCCGCCATTCCAACAACAACGCCCAAAAAAGGTAAACCGATAGCTTCACTTTTCCATTCCTGAGACCTGTCTCGGAGATTCAGAAGCTCTATTCATGGACAGCTGCTTCCGGGTGTCACGGAACAATTCAACTAGATCTGTAAGTGCGCTGCGCCAAGAAACTGGTCTCAAGATGGGCATTAGACGAGATCCACCAATGTTTCCTCCAGGTCAATGGAATGCCCAGTAGACAATCCGTGTCGGTGATCCGCGAAGTAATTATCTGTGTACAGGGTGGAATAACATTATTTTCAACCTGGTTTGCCACTGCCACTGTCAGAATATGGATGAAAGCTCCAGGTGATAGATGGGAGATTGTACTTCATAAGCATCAGCGGACTATGGATTACATAGACGAACGGTGTTCTGGATACAAAACATTGAATATTCTATAGAATGCCATAATGTTATAAAGATATATGTACTTTTTTTTTGTTAAACATTTTTTATACACAAATCTCATTTTCTTTTTCTTCGATCCCCACCTGCACTATCCACTCGCATCACCTAGAGTAGACTACTAAACATTCTGTAGATAGGAGTACGTTCACGCATCAAATTCTGGCTTTAAATCCGTGGTCTTGCAATGTTTAGTCATTCCCTGTCAACACGGCCCGAATGCGGGTGTCAGAGCCAAAGAGATGGCAAATTATTGAAAGTTAATGCATTCCAAAGGTATGTCTTTCAGAGCAGCTGGAATACAATAATCAGCCACATGGTGAGGAATCAATGCTGGACCCTCCACATTCAGGAACACCTCCTGTGACGTTGAGACACGAAGTCAGGACACAGTTTCGTTCAGTTCCACGACAGACATGTGCACCGAGTCCAGTCCTGAAGCGACAACAGCTACCCGCTCGATGTCTATCTGGCGTAAGGTGGTCCATCAAACGCCCGTTGGTACGCAGTGTTCTCTGATATAAACTCCAAACAATGGTTCTCGTATCCAGTTATAAGCTGTGACGTCTGTTCATGGACCGACATAACCATTGATCTGAAATCACTCTAGCACACTTGGAACACCCTTGTACTTCACACACAGACGAACCGCGAAGATCCGGGGTAGAATTGGTCTTCAGCCACCCACGTTGTCATAGGACGCTTTGTGCAGCCCTCCTGTTAAATCACGATGTGTCAGGCTGATGTGGGAGGAAGATGATGAAGGTCTCATGTTGTACCAGTTTATGTAAATCCACACGCATGTTTTTGATGCTATGAACCACCAGGATTTGAATTACACGATGTACATGTATCCATTTCTCGCATCTGTATCATAAATGATGACAGTAGATGGCATCATAACAACAACAGAACTGGAATTCGGTAATCTTGACATTGTTTCGGTTCAACTGCCATTGTTATTTCCGGATATAGTCCTGCGATTGGAGGATACTCGCATACACTTCATCAAAACTGCTGGCTGCAGGTGCCATTGATGACCTACTCTTGTTATACTGGGACTAGCCGAACAGAGACTCCTGTCCCTCTCTTGCCATGCCAGGTTCAGTCTAAGCGCAAACTAGATAGATGATTTGTCAACTTGTGTGCAATGATTCATGTATACATGTATTTCCCCTGCTGTTTAAAACAAATTCGGCGTAAGTTGATACACAGTATTATTGGAAACATGGGTGTATTTTAGAAACAAAGCGGACGTGAGATCAAACATTATTGAATTATTTGACTAAATCACTTGAAGTCAAATGAGCATTCTGATGGGTTTGTCATTTTTCCGCGCGTAATTTTCATCCATAAGGGGACGAGTCTTGTTGCAGGTGTATGTTGTTCCATTAATCACTCGGTGGTGTCAAGACCATGTCAAGACCATGTCAAGGCCGGCACAATATACACATCAACCAGTGGACAGGACTGAACGACCCTCTACTGAGGTGACCGAGACCGAGGGTAGGTTGCCATTACGCAACTACAGCTGTATTATTAGCATACCTATGGGTCAAGACGTTACCTAGAGTGAGATAACACAGCACTTCACTCAAGCTCAAGAACAAGCTGCGTAGGATTACATAACCTAGATTGCCCGTCTGTGTCTCTGCTTGTCTGCAACATATGTACTCTTTTCAGCAAACATTACCTGGCAAAGGTCATTCATGCCTGACTGGCGGATTATACAGTGAAATATGAAGCTTCTACGCCGGTGTCAATTTGCGTGCGAAACAGATTCCATTTGACATAAACGACCAAACAGTTTTGGAAACTACTTGCGTGAATCGTATAAATGCAGTGACGATCTAAATAGCAAGTCAAAACTATCATTTGCATTACATCGTACCCTTGTTTACCTGGACACTTCTAAATGCGGACGCTTTCACAAGAAACGCTAGCTCTGGTTTAACTGGATTTCACTATACATCTGAACATATAATCAACATTTAAATAAATGCCAATGCAAACCACTGTTTTCGTTAATAGCTTTATTATTATTTTTGCGAAAATGAAAGGCAACAGAATGAATAAATGTTGTTTTAAGCCGCACCAGCTATTTTTCGCAATTATTCTCGTCGGAAAGGAATCGGGTTCATATTTCAAAATAACATACCATAGACATTATTATACCACTGGAGTTAAGGACAATTAACCTGAAGATTTTCAAATCTAAACTGAAGACATACGTTTTTAAGAAAACTTACAGTGTCTAACTTTTCATTCTCCAGTTGTTCGGAGAGCGCTTCTGAGCAGTAATTTGGGCTGGAACTGCCTCTATATAAATGTTTTATGATGACGATGATGATTAAAATATATTGAACTACCATAATCGGGGATTGGATGGTATTTTGTTGACACTGAGACTCAGAATAGACACAGGGATAAGTAGTCGGTGAACCTTCAAGAAATGTGTATTTTATCAATATAACTGTTATGTATAACTAAAGTATATTAAAGTCAAATTCATCTTTTACTCACTTTAAAGTACAGAATGTATATGATTTAGTTTGGTATTGCACTGTGGTCTCGGATGAGCCTTCTAACCATTTGTCTTGCCCTGGAATGTGTCATGTGTCCCCTCCCCTCTCCTGCCCTAAGGCGCGGATGCTATGACTCCCAGCAAACAATACATGGGCACACACACGCACACAAACACGCGCACACGCATACCTAATTGACACACACACACACACACACACACACACACACACACACACACACACACACACACACACACACACACACACAAATACAAAACAAACAAAAAACCCGCACGTACCTACTCACTTACACAGGAACAGGCTTGTCATCACTCACACATACCCCCGTATCCACAGTTGTAGCTGTATGCGGATCACCCACAATGACGAGGCATTACTCGCCTACAGGGTTACCAGGCTGGTTTAGCGCACAGCTTACACATGACCAGTACATAGGGACATTTTGTCACTCACCATAATCTGCAGCAGGGCCGGTACTCGGCAATAATCGTGTACATGTAATTGTGACACATGGGCTGCAGGATTTGTCACTAATATCTGATGTAATGCTACACAATTCGTCAGTCAGTAATTAAACTCAATTTACTCTTACCTGAAACCCTCTATACCCTCCACATCAATTAATTATAATAATAATAATAATAGTCCATTTATCATGTGCATTATTCCACGCATAAAGCACGCCCAAACAATCAGATTATTATTACCCCGGATAACCCAAGCTGCCTGTGAGGTGCTAGAAAGTTAATAGTCACATTACCTATCCCACCGGGTACCCATTTTTCTGCTAGGTGAACGGAGACAATTTTAACAAACTCACTTGCCTAAATTTGAGACCACATATATCACATGTGCTTCGTTGTGGGGCAGAACTGAAGTCCTGGGAAACTCTTTGGAGTCAAGCTGCCAAGCACGGTCACCCATCCAAGGACTCTCCGCAACCCACATTGCCTAACTTCAACTGATTTGTGACCTGAGCTCTATGCACAGGACCACACACCACTTAAACGTGTTTAAAATCGGTTGAATTTGGATTTATTTGGAAGTATATGTGTGCTAACACTATCCACTCGGCTATAATGGTATCTTTAAAGAATTTAATTAACACTGACTGACTGAGTTTAGGTTTACGCCGCTTTTAGAAATATTTCAGCAATATCAGGGCGGGGGGACACCCGAAATGGGCTTCACACATTGTGCCCATGTGGGGAATCGAACCCGGGTCTTCGGCGTGACGTGCCAACGCTTTAACCACTAGGCTACCCCACCGCCCCATTTAATTAACAAGTAGCAATTGCCAGTCTCCTCATTCAAACGTCCTGATTTAAATTGACGTTTCGACTGAATCAAGCGTCAAGAAAATACGTTATAATCCTTCAAGAAGATAGGAGGTGGTGATGCAATTAAACCAAATACTTATATATCAATAATATTAACAACGTAACAGTGGCTGAACATATACATCATAGGGTGGAATATACAGACACCTGTCCACTGCTCGAGTAGGTATGAGACATGCAAATCGTGCTTAACCGACCAGTTCGATGTTTACCCATTACAGACGAACATCCGATATGTCTTCATTCATTTCAAGCATTCACGTGATCAATCGGCCAAAAAATATAATGAACTTACTTCATTGAGTACAAAGATCACTAAACGTTACTTACCCAGTCATCCGACTCTCACCGTGGTCAGTGTACTGCCCCAGTGGTCAAGGTCCAGGTGTGTGTCCAGCGTGGACATACATGCTGGAGTAACAGGCCGACCTGCAGGTTAAGGCTGTCTGTCATATGTGCACAGGTATGGGAACCCAGGCGTAAACAACTCGGGCTGTATTTGGGCGACCATAACCATCAACGTGTCACTGACCAATAATTTAAAACAATTTGGAACGGTTCCGTATGAAAATATTTTGTCTCTTTTACAGGTTACTGTTCATTTATCAAGACTTCATGTCCCACTCTCATCTTGTATTATAGCGAGTGGTATCCTATAACAGGTCGTGGATTATTTCCCATTCTTTTGACATTTATTGGTGTGATACCAATAGGTGCTGGTATGGTTAAACGAATAGTCATACCAGTTCATATCAGTATTATTGAACGACGTGGCAGTTCTACCAGTTGGTGGCGGTGCATATGTGATATGTGACATCGGTCCACGGAGTGGTGCCAGTTGATACGATACATGACTACTTCAAACCAAATGGTGCCGGCGTTTATGTGACATTTGGCAACTTCAAACCAAATGGTGCCGGCGATAATGTGACATATGGCAACTTCAAACCAAATGGTGCCGGCGATATGTGACATATGGCAACTTCAAACCAAATGGTGCCGGCGATAATGTGACATATCACAACTTCAAACCAAATGGTGCCGGCGATAATGTGACTTATGACAACTACAAACCAAATGGTGCCGGCGTTTATGTGACATATCACAACTTCAAACCAAATGGTGCCGTGACATCTCTTCGGGGGGAAAGTCTCACCAAACCGTTAGTTCGAATTTCTTCTTCTTTGAATGGCATTTTAATAGTTGGGAAGCACAATATAGAAAAAACTTTATGGATAACAACTTCTTTTATTCGTGAGTGCGACGTTTTGATACAGATTCTTGTACCGTTTCATTTTCGTTCTGTTTGTAGTTGTGTCTCACCCGTGCTTGTGGTTTTGTATTATTCAATCTCTCATACAAACATTGGATTGTTTGTTTAGACTTTGTACACATCGTATTAAATATGTTTACTTCGGATTTTAACTACGAACAACCGGCAACAAACTTGGTTCTTCACTTTCTCTTCAAAGTGAGTCTACGACTCGTTCTCCATTCAAGACTAAAACATTTGCTCAAACACAACCGGGTGTATTTTAACACGCGACGTACCTACGTTCCGTCTGAATTGCCCCTACTCAAAACAACAGTCACTCCTGTCCCATGTGTGTGGTCGGACTGTATGTACGTTCTGATAAAGCGACGGGGCCATAGTTGGGGCACATGACAAGCTAAAGGTATCCCGTATAATGGGCAATACAAACACCCCATTCCCCACTGAACAAACTGTAAACGATACCAGAACACGTGGTTGTGAGACGGAGAGGTTAAAAACTGGGACGCGGAGTATACGATTAACGCAGTTTAGATTAGGTAATCCTCAATCCTGGGACTTACATATTTCAGATTGATTTATATGAGGTTGACGAACTCACGACTGATGTTGTTTATTTAGGGCCAAAGGGGAGTATATTATATTTAGAAGTTGTGGATGGGAGATCGCATTGTTTCAAGGTACTCAAATTAGATAATGCAAATATATCGAAGTCGTGCTATGCATGACCAAACGTAAACTAATTGGGACGAATCTGTCCTCTCAGATATATATATCTGATACAATAAATCATGTTTATATCGAACACGCTTATAGCGAACAGGTTCTTCCACACGATTTGCTGTATATTGCATATAATATATCACAGCAAAAATAACTTAGTTTCCGTTTTTGCGGAAACCTAATGGATACTGGGTAATGTAGGTTTCCGCTAGGTTTCGGTATCCGGAAACAGACAATGCGAGTTTCCGCATAGTTTACAAAACTGAAACTAACAAATCTAGGTTTCCGTCAAGTTTCTACAACTGAAACTATCATTATGCGTTTCCATTTAGTTTCAGTTCGCTGAAACATTCATAGCAAAATAACTTAGTTTCCGTTTTTGCGGAAACCTATTGGATACTGGGTAATGTAGGTTTCCGCTAGGTTTCTGTTGGTTTCAGCTTAGATGAAATGGCAAACTTAACTTTGTGCTGTTCCATTGGGGGACAATATGTACTGTTACATTTGCAAGATAATTTCTATATACAGAATCCAGCTAGGGTCCATGCAGGAAGCGAAAGTACTGTACGTTCCCTTAGTCCCTAGTATGTTGATCAACCTTCAGGTGTTGGCAATCTATAGCCCATTTTTATACTGTACCGTTAAAGTGTTTATGGTTACATGCCAGTTTTTAGTGTACATTTGTGATAGACTAGTTATTTTACTGTCCTTCGAAGACAGGTAAGTATATAAGTTTGTTTTTATTTCATGTACACATTTACAAATTTAGATTTACGACTTTCATAGTCACGATATGGCTGCCGATGTGACTTTGTAACTCACTCACTACCATTCTGCATAACTTGTGAATGTACCATTTATTACATTGTACACGAAAAACAACAAACACAGTAACACAGTCACTGATATGATTCATCTGTTTCATTATTTTGAATAGCTCACATTTCAACAGAACCCAACTCTGTCTCTCTCTCTCTGTGTGTGTGTGTGTGTGTGTGTGTGTGTGTGTGTGTGTGTGTGTGTGTGTGTGTGTGTGTGTGTGTGTGTGTGTGTGTGTGTGTGTGTGTGTGTGTGTGTGTGTGTGTGTGTGTGAGAAGCCACATCAAGAGGGAATCTTCAGCATTGGAGAACACAACTTCTGTATGAATATGCAAATACAAATATGTCATCCAAATCCTACAACATTTTATGCATATGATGAAATGATGTCTACTAGTGCAGGCATAACATACTTGCTGTGGTATTTATTAAACAGATTTCAAATTCAAATTCAAATGTATATTGTATGAAAGGTCATGGGCCCATATACATGAAGTGTACATTTGAAGCTGCCTCAATGTATACACACTAACAATCTCACATAGTAAAGACTTGGCAACTTGCTGACAATCATGAAGCTTCTATTGCACTCATACTGAGCAGACAGCAATTCTCTGATCTGGTACATATGAAGCAGAGCCTGAGTTGAGACATTTGTTTTGCCACACAGAGAAAGGGGAAATATAAACCAAGTTGATTACAACAAGTCTTGAACCAGTCCACAACCGCAAACAGATGGTGTATGCTCTACTTAAGATCTGTGGGTGAATATGAAGAGTCCTGGTTGATGTCTGGCACAATATCGTTGCCATGCTCATCGTCCCACACAGACTCTGCATCATCCTGCAAATACAATACATACAATGCTTAGTAAAACTACAAAAACAGCCAAAGTAACACATGTATACATATTCAAAAACATGCACAGTGGTACATCTGATCACAATGAAATTATAAAATTAGAACGACTAATGTAGATGTAGATCTATTTGTAGATGTAACCAAAAGATTTTTTTCACAATCACAAAGGAAAGATCTGTTGTATACATGTATATTGTATCTTCCATTGGACATGTCACTTATTTGATTGTTTCGTACCAGAAAATAGTAGCCAACCCAGTATTCTGAAGCAAATTGTGGAAATATTTATTACTGTTACTGTACTCATATTCAAGGTAACATCTACTACCAAATCGCCAATTGAAATCTAAGCATAGGTAAAACGGTACATACGTATTTTAAATAGATACGAATCATGTTCAAACACTGAATGTAACACCTGTTTATATATGTGATCTTATTCATTTCAAATTGAAATGACCAACTCAACTGAGAAAAGCATACAAAACCTAACATTTCCCATGAATGAAAAATCGTGGGAATTTCTTAGTTTTATCAATCCTCTAAAGAAACATTCACAGCTATATAATAACATAAAATATTATTTTTTAATGTGACCTTTACTTTAATTTAAAAACTGTAAAATGTGTAACACAACTTATTCACTTTCAGTTACAGTTACATATCTGATATACAATAATTAAATATATTCATTATTGATATATGATGGATAACAAAGGGACAGATCAAACTGAAGTCGTTAAGTGAAACCTATGAAGTGAAGTATCTTTGACGACTAACCTGATAAGAAACTGCCGTCCATTCCAGGCGGATTCCTTGTTTCCTTGAAACAAACGACTGCCAGTGCGGACAGAAAACTGGTCTTTTTCTTGGAACTGAAAAACATATCAACTTATAATTACACTGGAATCCACGCACTGTTACATTTTGAGTGATTATATTTTTCACAAAGAAAAAGAAATTTATTCTATGTATCTATTTAGTGTTTACTTGTTTTTGACTAAATGCTGATGAATAAAAAATATTGTTTTAAGATTTCCTTTAATGAAATTAGGAGGATGGTATGGTGTAACTATACATGATTACCAAGCCAAGCCTCTTGTCAATCTCCAACAAGTCAGTGGATCCACAATACGTATCTGTAAATTGAAACAATGATTCTTTTAGAAATGTTATACGTGACTTGTGTCAATGCATTATAAGGGTAAGAGGTTTAATAATTGATTACACAAATTATTACACAAAGCTATGAGTGTAAAGTATATGTAATAATTGTTTTAATGGTTATAAAATGATAAAATAGATGAACTGGTATAATTGGATAAATACCGCCCTATAGCTGGAATATTGCTGAGTGCGGCGTAATACTAAACTCACTCAGATATATTGAGCTGACATTACATATAAACTAGTAATATATACTGCAAAATTAGATAAGTAAACTTATAATACATGGGAATAGTATACGTAGATCTAGGTGTAGAACTGAAAAGAATGAACATGATATAAGCATGTCTAATACACTTGCATGTTTTGAGCTCAATAGGTAAATTACTTACATGATGAAGTTTTACGTCCAGCAGAAATATTTTTGTATATTGCCTACTCCTGACACGGTTTTGAAAAATCACCTGTTTGCCACTAACACAAGTTCTCATGAGTAGGACTCATGAAGCTCGATCAGGACTTTTAAATACGTGAATATGTTTTCAGATTTATTCACTGTTAATTATCTCTAGGCCTACATGTTGATGCTTGACACTGAGGAGGAGCAATTAGTGCCCATAATGCGATGAA